AACAAATTATTTTTTCAGACCCATAAAGACAATTACTGCTAGATAGCGATCACCTATATTTTCCCCGTCATGGCTAGGCTTGTATAAGCAAACTAATAACGCCAGATAAAGCCCTGACCTTACAGAATAAACAATGTTCCACCAGATCCTGTATGTCAGAAAGTATAGTTTTATCATTATATCATTTTTTCATTATAAAATAACACAGAAATTGAATAACAACACTTTAATCTCCTCCTGACGTTTTCGACGTCTGCTTTGAGAAACTGTCAATCACAACTGTCAATCACGATAAACTGCCCAGCACTAAATTACAGCTAAAAACACACTGTTTACAAAAATGAAGATCTGCACCTATGTCAGCATGATGGCCAGAACCTGAATTGGCCAGAACCATCGTTCGGGACATTTTATTGCAAATGTAATTAATTTTTTTAAAGTTTTGGGCTAAAGTCTCCTTCATTAACTCCTTCATTAAAGGCGGGCTTTATAACTTGTACTGCAGCCAGCCCCCAGGGGGCAATCTAAAGGCCGAGAGCAGTCAATTAGCCGAGACCTTCGCTCTAAAGCAGGCGTGCGGCACACTTGGTGCAGGCCCTCCTCCCAAAGAATGTGTGGCTATAAAGATTGACAAATGGCTATTTCGCAGCAAGGGTTTTTTTCCATGTTGTGGCCAAACTGGCCATACTGAGCGTTACGCTTTTCCCATCCAAATTTTTCCCCATGCGAGTTTGTCTTTTTTTTTTTTTTAGGTTTTTCCACGTCTTTAGATTTCTAGTCTATGATTTAATTCACAGCCATAGGGAACAGTTCTAAGCTTAAAAGTTGATGCTATGTTTTATAACTGCAAACATCCCACCTGACAACAACAGTGCCTCCATTTCAAGGACATTATCTCATTCGTGGGCATTAGGGAGCCACTATGAATCTGCGGGAGATCCCTGAGCTTCTGGAAGGCTTAGGATGTCTAATATTGTCAGTACTGCTGCATTCAAGAAGTCAATAACAGTACCATTTTCATGAACAACTCAAGACACAAAAACAGTGTGAGCTCTTATATCAATTACATTTTGCCTGTTTGTTTTTGACTCTCAAAGTCCAAACAGTCATTGACTTAAATTTCGGATGCATCTGAAAGCTTTAAAATGCAACCTTCTGAGTCACCATTCCAAGCATAGATATTTGCATTAGATGTTGCCTACGCTGTTGTTGTCTATTGGAAGGAATGCGTCAATAGAGACGCATTTAAGTACAGGGTAGCTCTCCCTTCAAATGAATGTGGGACCAAGGTGGAGTGGAGCTCTGGCCATCCTGAGCCATATATATGCAAATATATATTTTTTCAATTCTGAAAATTTTAAGTTTACATATTTTTCTTTATCGATGGATAAGTGACTGCACGGGTATTGCCGACATAGAGTGTGTGTGTGTGTGTGTGCATTAAAATGTATTATCTTCCCTCCCTGTTAAATTTGATCTAATCCACGTCCTGAAACACACACCCTCTCCTGCTTTCACATCTAATTCTGATGGAGGGAGCGATTAGTTTGTGAATGAATCTCCGTTATGATATCCCTGCATCTCAATGTGCATATCCACCTTTCTGATCTAAATGGCATATTACAGTTGTAATATTCAACCAATTAAGCATGTCACACACCAGAAGCGCTGCTCGGCGACGCGCCTCGTAGCGGTACGCAGCGGCATGCATTTTAGGGTGCTTTCACACCTACACTTTTGTTTCGGAACCTGTCTCGTTTGCCCAGTTAGCGTGGTTCGTTTGGCATATGTGAACAGGGCAATCGCGCTCTGTTCCGCGCCAAAGTAATCGCTCCGAGAACGCTTGAATGAGGTGGTCTCGGCTCGATTGAAACGAACCCTGGAGCGGTTCGATTGTAGTGAGAAAGCGATCCGATCCGATCGCGGTTATATCACAGTGTTTTATGGATATGTAATAGGCTTACGGCTATATGAAGAGAGAATTATGAGTAGGGCGGGAAGTTTCGCGAGACTCCGGATGCCCGCAAACGATTGATGATCTCCCGGTAATCTCGCGTCTCCCTCCCGGTCCTCAAATAGGCATCGTCACGCACCCTTCTCACCCCTCCCCACTGCATCTCTCCTCAGACACGTCGCGCGCGCGCACCCTGTCAAACACCACCAAACCACCACCTCTCCTGACAGCTTAGCGGGACGCTGCAAAACAAACCCGGACACTCTGACCAATGTAAGGAGAGTTTACTCGCACGTGACTTGTTTTAGCTCTTTTGGTCCGATTAGAAACTTTGCAGTGTGAAAGCGAACCGCTCCAAGAGCAAAGAGCAACAATGTAACAATTGTAATCTCTGTTTCGGAACAACTGAATCGATTTACAGGTGTGAAAGCACCCTTGGAATTCTTAACATAGGTTTCTATCAGGGTACACACACCGGCGCCGCAAGTCGGTGGCGCCCAGCCATGACTCAGGATGCTGTTCATATTTCAGCCGCACCATAGAGCGCCAATTAATTAGTTTCATGTTAAATATTGTGCGAATGTGCGCGTCTGTGTGTGATACTTTAAACTGTCATGTGCACGCCGTGTTGCGGCGCCAAGCGTCGCTTCTGGTGTGCGATCTGTTTTAGGGTAGACAGTAGCACATTGAGGCGCAGGCACTGTTATGTTATCAGGCACCCTTATAGGTTACTTTTAAAAACTAGCCGTTACTTCACTTACACGACAATAATAGAAGTTTCTGGCACCTCAGCGTCTTGTTGTCATATTTCATTAACATTGTTTGCTGATTTTATTCAACAAAACTAGCATAAGCCTAGAACATAGTGCACTAGCTTAGTGCATTAGTTGGTGCTACTTTACCAAATGGTCAGTGCAGTAAGTGAGAGTATTATCATTAATACCTTGATTTTAGCACAAAAGTTTGTAACAAACAAAAACAAAACAAAAAAATCTTTGCTCGTTACTGCACCTGTACACAGCGAGTCTAAAGTTAAAAAAACTCTGCTTTTTATTTTTTTTTTCTTTCTCCCAAGCATAGAAAAAGTGAGTGTCTTACAGGTGGTTTGTCAAGCCCACTTACCTCACGCTAAGAATTCCACAATATTTTCCAAGTATGGTGTGCTTATAAGAAGGTCTTTGGTGCAAACGGTTAAGAAAACTAGTACTGGTGGTTTGTCAAGCACACTCACTGGTGCGGGATACACTCAGAATTGCACAATGTAGTAGATGCACACTTCAGTACCTCAGCTGAAATAATACATCAGTGTACATCTTGCCTAATGTGTTAAATACTGATATTAAATATACCCCAATATATTGAATCCAAAGTTCTTCCCTAACATACTGTTTCAACATACTAGTAGGGAAGTATGTACTTTAAGATTGTAAAATCACATTTTTGCATCCATATCGATAGAAATCACGAGAAAACAAGATGATTACTATACTTTTAGGTTAAACGTGAACATGCTATTATCTCACGTGCATAAAAATAAGTTGTCATTTAAAGAAACGGCTCACCCAAAAATAAAAATTCTATCAACCTTTATGTGTTGCCCTTTAAAAAGTTTCACTTTAAAGTATCTTCTTTAAATATTTTATATGCGTATTTCCTTTGTTAAAATGTAAAATTCATAATTTAATTAATCTAGTTCATGTGTAAAAAAAGAATACTTTTATTTTGCGTTATGACATACTCCCTGTTAAGTCACTTCCTGTTAGTGGTCCTGGCTCTTGGTGAAAGCTGTCAGACATGTGCTCTCTCTCGGACAATCTCTAAACCATCTGCTTAAAATCATCTTTGAGGCAATGCAATAAGTTTATATTTCGCACATTAGACGTGTTAAAGACATTATATCAGTGATTAGTTTGTAAAAAATACAACGTTTTATGGGTTTATTTGCTAGTGTTATTACTACTACAAGAATTGTAGTCTGTTTATGTTATGCAAGTGCAAATACCTGTCAAAACACGATTTCTGAGAACTGTTTTATTATTTTATTGCAGTTTTCACCATAAATGCTATTAAGAAGAGTGACAGTAAATGATCTTACTGCGACTCTGTCTTAATTGGCTATGGTTTAACTCAGTGTTTAGTCAGTCACAACACACTGCACGAGAACACAACACTTGTCAGAAAACTATTCTTTTTCTTAACTATTTTTTCTTCTTGAAAAATGTTGGAAATCAGAAACAAAATGGACTTCCACAGCATTGTTTTCCCACACTTTGGAAATCAATAACCTTTGACATCTAATATTGATCATTTAGTCAAAGGTTTAAACCCACTTAGAAGTGAGTAAAGAGTAAAGTTTTTTTTTTTTTAATAGGTGGACCATCTCTTTCAAGGACAGTAAATGAACTCAGAATATTATGTAAACCTGTGATAATTAAATGGTAAGTACTGTAATAAAATAAATATTTGTTTGAGCTGGGCTCTCAATGGTACAAACATGAACATACTAAATTAATGCAGAAACGGTTAATGATAGAAGATCTTGCCAGTCCAAAACAGCCAATACCTTAACACAGGGGTTTTCAAAGTGTGAGGCGGGCCTCCCCGAACCATGATCTTTATATGTGGTTTGTCAAGATATTTTGGCTAATGACAGCATGAGACCCGCTAAACTTCGACTGTTTTGACTGGGATGGACAGTTCTTGGATCTGTTCTATTCATATTGAACCATCATCCTAGTTTTAAAAACGTTATATTAAAATACTTGTTATTACTCTGTAAATAATTGCACTTTCATGCAAATGATGATAAAATTGAGTTAATAGTCTGACATCTGTCTGTGTTTATATATATATATATATATATATATATATATATATATATATATATATATATATATGTGCGCGTGTGTGTGTGTGTGTTTGGGAGGGGAGGGGTCGGGGCAATGGATAAGTTGTGTCAAAAGGGAGGCCCACTGTCTTAGACTTTGAAAAACCCTGCATTAACACAACTGTGTGCAGAAATAAAACCATGACTCTGAAGCAAAGACAGTTTTTATAATATGTATTTTAATTATTATTATTTTAGTTTTTACTTTACGACAGGTGGTCTGGGTCTAACATTAGCCCCTCATTAAAATTCCAGTGCGAAACATCTATCTCACAAGCTGCAGGTCGAGGATGACAAGTGCATTATGGGGAGGAAAGTGTCTACAGTATTACAACAACAACTCAACATCTGTGGGAAGGCCACAAATATCAGGTAATAAACTTTAGAATTACAACACAACCGTTTACACCGAAAGCGCACATTCAGACTACAGTGGGACACACATTAACACTTACTCCGGTAAAACAAACGACCCATCTCTCAAATAGAGCCATCACAACTAATTGCTGCCAACGTCAGCCATTTGCCGATGGAAACTTCTTAAAGTAATTTGACAGAAGAAAAGCAAACTGAAAGAGTATGGGTCAGAGTCTAGCATGTACTGTTGGCCGTTCATAGAGAGTGGAGTAGTTGTCATTTGCATCCCCAAGAGGTGACAGAAGTGCTGAACAAAGCGCTAAGTAAGGATGACAGCTTCTTGGGAGACGATCACTCAACCTCTGGCAGAAGAGCCTTAAAGCACTTATACGTTACTGAGGGCATCGACACCGGGCAGCACTTTACCCTCCAGCAGCTCCAGACTGGCTCCGCCCCCTGTGCTCACATGGCTGACCTTGTCCTCAGTGTCCCACTTGGCACAGCAGGTAGCTGTGTCTCCCCCACCTGAAATTGAAAGAAACAAAAGCCAATTGTTATACTGTTATGGTGGCAACTAAAATGGAATTTAACGGATGCCAATAGCTCAGGCATTGTTAAATTCTTTTTTGTCAAACTGAACAAACGTAGATGAAGTTAAAGTAAATGCAAGTGTAATTCAAGAGTTCTCGCTTTACTGTACTTAACATGTCACATACAATGAATATTTATGTTAAAGTTATTTTTAAAAAAAGGACAGTTTTAAACAGCCATGATCAAAAAACAACACGTTTAATTCAATACTGGTAATATTGAAATATTCTGAAATAATAATTAAAATGTGTATTATTTGTCAGTGTTATTGTACAAAATTTCCTTCATTCTACTTCGGCTTAGTCTCTTATGCATCAGGGGTCAGCACAGTGGAATGAACCACCAACTATTCCAGCTTATGTTTTACATTTGCACCCAGAAGAAAACCACGCTAACACGAGGAGAACATGCAAACTCCACACAGAAATGCCAACTGGCCCAGCCAGGACTTGAACCAGTGACTTTCTTGTTATGAGGCCACAGTGCTTCTGCTAATCACCATGCATTCATACATTTCAATTTAAGATTTTTAAGTATTTATCTTTTTTATTTTGTTCTTTGCTTGGTTTGGCACTTGTAGAGCTGTGCATAGATTGATTTGCTCTTCAGTTTTTGGACTTTCAGCAGTAGAATTTAAACCACACTAAACTGAACTTTAACTCTGAAAACCGGACTGATACAGGTTTCAATTTACTAGAACTTCTATGTAAAGCTGCTTTGACAATCTACATTGTAAAAGCGAAATCGAAATAACATAGTGTGAGGGGCTACTAACATTATGCTATCCTAACCATGCCCAGGCCAGTTTCCTAAATCATCTGAGAAGTGTGAATGCTCTGAGCGCTCACTTGGGCTTTGGTGCGGTACGCTTGTGTGTGAGAGCAAAACGCGCCTAAGCCCGAAACTTAAAGCGAGCCGTGACTTTTAAGGGATTAAGGGATTAATCCATATTTTCATATGGATTAATGAATTATTCTTACAGACAGAGTTGCACCTTCAGCAAACCTCCTAATTCTTGCAGCACGAGTACTTTATGGTTGTTTAGGAGCGTCAAAAGTGGCTGATCTGTTCGGCGAAATATTTGACTGTGTGTCACTGCATTTCAAACAACTTAAACGATATAACTAAAGAAATCTCCACTATGCTGAGCGAGAGGGCTTGCTGAACAGCACAACATCAATGACGCAAGCGTGCTCAGGCCCGAATGTTATGCGAGTGCGGGGCGTCGGGGGAGACAGGAGAGGGGACAAGCGTGCTTGGGCCCGGTTCAAGGCAACTGTACATAGTGCGAGTTCGCTCTGAATAAAATTTCACTCAGCGGATGCCTTTCCAGTCCCAACCTAGCAATTTAAGATTTTTTTTATCAAGTATTTGACAATTTTTATAATAAACCTATTAACAAATTAATGAAAATTTATTTCAAGCACTTCTAAGAATTTATGTTTGTTTTTAAGTAAAAGAAAGTGTACCAAAACACGGTATTCGCCGTTTCGCTGATTTGAAAATTCTTGGTTGCATCCATATCCTGTTTATTCTGGTGTGTTCACCACTCAGGCCTGATGCACAAGGCAGTTTCAGTTTTTAAAAGGACCGCTTGAACAATTTTTTTCCCTTCTAAAATTCCAATGAAAATTACAATTATTTACACAATTCACCTCAGGTGGCACCATGATTTCTTGCCAACATGGTTAAATTAAATACTGTTGTGGATTGAAAGGATTAAAAGGTCCTGTCCTGTGAAAGTTTTGAAATTAGCATTTTTTTTTAATGTAATCTCAACTTAAACAAATGCATTTAATACATGATATTTGGACACGATAAATGTATTTGAACGTAGGTCAGATGTCCAGATATCGAATACATTTCTGATTTTGAAAGTTGCTCAGAACAGATTGGATTTGTCCATAGAATTAAAAAAAAAAAAGACCTAATAGAAGTATATATATATTTTTAATGTATTGTTAACATTTAGACTCGTGCATCCAAATAACCTGCCACAATTAATAAAACTAAATTCTCACCGATAATGGTGATGCAGCCATTTTTGGTCGCTTCTACAACTTTGTCCATCATGTTCTTGGTTCCATGAGCAAAGTTGTCCCACTCGAACACGCCAACGGGTCCGTTCCACACAATCTGCTTGGCTCTGGCCACAGCCTCTGCATAGAGCTTTGAGCTCTCAGGACCACAGTCTAGACCCTGCATGTGAAGACCAGAATAATTTCTTCTGATAACTGCTCACAGGAAGACAAGATCTATGTGCTTCAAATAATAGAGCATTGGTCTTTCTTACCATCCAGCCAGCAGGAATACCTTCTGCTACCGTTGCGGTGCCTGTTGTTGCCTTCTCATCGAATTTGTCTGCAGTGATAAAGTCGACTGGAAGTGTGATCTTTACACCGTTCTTTTCTGCTTTGGCCATGAGGTCTTTCACAATTGTGGAACCCTCTTCATCAAACAGGGAAGTGCCGATCTGAGCACAAAAATACATGATTTTTAAACTATACATTATAAATGGGTTATGAAACGGAGCAGATATTTTTACAAATATACAACCTTTAAATGACCTAAACTTTCAATTGCAAAAAAGAATGTCCAATTACTGTAATTGAAGAAAACTTCTCAATTGAGCCATCTGAACATGGAACAATCAAGATATTCTCTAAAAATAAGTTAACTTCAAGTACTAAATTTATACCAATTGTTATTTTGAAAGTTTGTTGTGCAGACATTTAGTTTCATTTCATTGTCAAACAAACCGGCCACTTAGAGTAGACCAGTTTGACAGCCTCTTTGCAACTTAATATTCAAATTTTGAACTCCTTTCCATGTTTTGATTGGGTATTCGACAATTTATTTATTCATCCAAAAATGTTTAAACTACTTGAAACTCCACATCAAACGGCTAATAAGACTTTGGGCCTGTTTCAGTAAGGAGGTTCAAACTCAGTTTAACTTGAACTCTGAGTCGACTTACTAAGAGATTAAAAACTTAAGAGTTTTCGTTTTCAGAAGAGCTGATCTGAGTTAGGTCAATCAACTATCAATAGAGCGCAGATATTACGAGTCACTATGACAACATCTGAAAAAAGATCAAATTCAACTGGAGAATGAAATGCTGATGTGCTCATGCAAAGTTATAGCAAATGAGAAAAGCATTGGAAAACATAGCTGCTCAAGTTAATGCATAAGTTTAAAGTATTTAAATACTGCATAGTTTCTACAACAAATTTGACAAAACAAGAATGCATATAACCTTAGCTTAATGTTTAGTGGAAATGATTAATTTAAGGTTCTCACTTTTTATACACGGCCAGTTTAGGATAAAAATTTCTAAAATTAAGTTTAATAGATTTTAAAGGTCACTTGTGTGTTTACCTTATTATTGATCAGGTGGTAGAGTGATATGACATTTTGAATATAAACCGTTTATTATTAATTTTAAAAGATTGAGCCATTCACGTACAGGATTTTGTTCTTTGTGTGACTGCAATGTAGCTACGTTTTCAATCCAAAAATGCTAAATTAAATTTATGTGCAAAAGCATTTCCATCCAACAAACCATAGAGAACAAAACAGTCACTTCCTTGATTAACTGACGTTGAATATCAACAGTAAAAACAGAATTTACTGCAGTGGAAGCTATGGGAATCTTTTCTTTAATTAATAAACGACTTTCACCTCAGAGGACAATGCCGACACACAATGAATGAACGCGTGGTGACGTTTAAACCATGAGACGAGGAGAACAGACGCTCTTGACATATCCAAAATGTGCATAAAAAAGGTGGGTGGAAAAGTAAGGCTAAGGTGAGTAATACTGCTTCGTCTTAAAAAAAAAAAAAAAAAAAAAAAAAAAAAAAAAAAAAAAAAAGGGGAAGGAGAGGCCAACAGAAACAGAGTTTAATGAATAAAACCTGCTCCTGACCAGGTTAAGTTTACAGTATAAGTTAACAAGGTATCAGACTCGGATTTAAAGTTGCCTATCTTTCAGAAACGGGCTTGAGTTATTCGACAAACTTGTCATTTTGAAACGTAAAACCCAAAGTTTCTCTCATTTCAGGGTTACATTCTCTGAGTTTTCACTTAACCTCCTTTCTGAAACGGGGCCTTTTGTTTTCCAAATTTCACAGTGGGTTCAGGTTGGTGAGATGTTTTCACTGTTGACGAAAAAAGCTGTTTGGTTTTGATTAGTTTCATTCAGTGCCAGACTTTTTTGCAAAGTTTCCATAATCTTAATTTATTAAAACTTTTTAAAAATCTTTTTTGTTTTTTTAAATCTACACAATACATTTTAAAATGATCATTTTCAACAGTAATAAAATGTAAATGTAGCTGCTTGCAGCGATTACAGGCCCAAAGACTTGATGCAAATCTTCTTGCTTATTTTGGATTTTTTAAAGAATTTTTTTTTTTAAACATTGTAATTCACACAATTTAAAACTTGTTACATTTTTTTGTTATTAACTTGTATAGTTAACATATGAAAGTAAGAATTAAAATGGAGTGTGGAGCCTGATGAGCTTCAAATTCAAGGCGAAGCCTGATGAGCTTCAAACAGTGTGGAGCCTGATGAGCTTCAAACATACTGCATGGTCAAATTCTGAAAAAGAGGTCTCAGGGATGGAAGCAAATATTAAAAATTATTTCTGTGCGTCTTAGTCCAATCATCGTTTGTAGCCAATTTAAAAAAAAAAAATTTAACAAGATTTGTTGGAGGAGTAGAGACATTTTTTTTTACTGCCTGACAGGGGATTAAAAAAAAAAAAGAAAAAAAAAAAAAGACAAATGATATGTCATTGGAATCGGCATAAATCAAGGACCCAATTAAAAATTAAGAAATCCAAATTTCTTGGATTGGATGTCATTTTCAAAATAATTGACTATTTTGACTAACAATGTTATATCTCTTGAACACTGGGTGGCACTGTCTTTAAAGTTCTGGTTTACTTGTTACATATGGATTTTTGTACAGATAGATCATATTTTACTTTTTTAAATTTTTCGACTTTGAGATACCATAACTTTTGAACAAAATTTTAATATAAAAATTCTATACAGTCATTTCTGTGCGGCTCAGTCCATAGACTACCCGAGCCAAATCTGGGAAAAATTGGTTTAGTTTTGACAGACAAGCAGCGTCTAAATGTATTACTGTACTTTCAAAATGATCACTACTGTAATGGGCGGAGTTTTAATGTACAGTGTTGGTTTGAACCAGCATGATCAGTGAAATCTTTTGTACCAAGTTTTATTTTTCCAGCTCAAATGACTAAAAGGTTATAACAGTTTTAGTGTTGAAAGTTTGGACTGCTGGTGGCACTATAGAGTACTCCAAATTCGGTCAGTTACCTTCTTTTGACCACCACTACAATTGTGCCGAACTTAATCATTTTCCTACTTACGGTTCATATGGCTCCTATTGACTCACATTTGGAAAGAAACTTAATAATAATAATATTAATAATGAAAACCTACAGGAACAATAGGGGCCATCTCTCATCTTTGTGTCAATATTGAACAAACTCCAAGCTGATTGAACCTACTTCTGGTTTCTTGACCATCTCCCAGAGGTTAAAAACTGTGTAAAATGTATGTAGCAAATTTACTTCTGAAGATGCTCAGCAATGAAATGATATTAATCTTCCTGTAAGCCTTCTGTCGCTCACCTCCATGTTCTTGAGAACCTTGAGGAAGGTAAAGGCCATTCCTCCACCAATGATCATCTCATTCACCTTGTCCAACATGTTGTTGATCAGCTGAATCTTATCTTTGACCTTGGCCCTGTACAATCAAAGCAAAGAAATCAATCAAAAACATTTCAAAATCACTCATGCAACATCTCAAGTTATTATAATATTTTCACTTAAATCTTGGAACGACAGAAAGAAAATTCCAACTCTGAGAATTTGCAGGAAGTGCACTATAATGAACACATTAAGAAGACATATGCTTAAAGCTGTTTGTGAACTACAAAACTAATCAATTCACTAAGTGAACTTTGTTATTGAGAAATGAACTGTTTCAGCCACCACTGCAAATGAGGAACGGCCAATGAATGTGCAGGAGTGGATGTTATCAGGAGGGAGAGAAAAAAGTATGTGTGCATGTTGTGCAACAGCCTGGACTCTGACTTCAGCTAGCCATGTGCATCGAAAGGGTTCATCACTGATCTGATTTTAGTGAGTTCCACCACTGCCCCCTGCACAGTTATAACTAAACTTCAACATTCATCAACAAGACTCTAAATTTAAAAATGGTAGAACTCTAATATGCCAAAATTAATCTAATTCTTTCTGCAGCCAGATATAGGAAGCAAGGCTTAAATAACAGTAGAGCAGGAAGGACACTGTCACACATCCTGCAGTTGCATAAGAGGATAAACCCATCTATTCCAGGGCTGCCATTGATGCTTTCTGAAAGGGTCCTTAAGTGCATTCTATACCCCATTTACATATGCTACTGAAATGCATTTTAATCACAACACCAAATACAGGTGTAAATGAATTGAAAGATTTTTTTTAATTCTTCAATTTGGGCGATCCCCCAGCAATTAACAGGGAAAAAATGTGAAAATGTGCTCGTTTAGGACCTGCAACAGACAACAGGTACCCAGAAAGGTTGGCCAATATATATATATATATATATATATATATATATATATATATATATATATATATATAAAATCTTTTCCTGAAATCTAGAGAAGTGTAAAAAACTGATATGTTTGTATGGCGTTAAATATTAAGACTATGGTGACATTACTTGCTGAGGACTCGAGAACAAAAACAAACTAATCTTTTCAGTTATAAGACAGGAAGGAGTTTAGCATAAAGTAATGTATGGAGATTTGACACGAAAACATAACCAGAGAATTACCTGAGGACTGAAGACAATGTGAAAAAGTTTAAACTGCTCAGCCTGGAGAGCCAACAATGTATTCATCTTTAAGATTTCATAGGTGTATTAGAGTTGTCTTACTTGAGATGTCAGCATGTGTACAGATTTGAATCATGTTAGGGAATTAATATGCAATATTTTAATTGTTTTCAAATGATGCAGACTTGCCATCACTCTCCTAGACTACAGCTTCAATCTATCAATTTCGTTTTCCAGTTCATGTTGCACTCAAATCCTTAATATTTCCCCTTGTATGCACACCTTTGTGTCTGCTTCTGTTTAAAATCAGCATGTTATTTTTCCTGAAATTATTTCCTTACGGAATGAACAACTGATAGGGGAGTGATATGGGTGACACTAAAAGCTTGATAGAATGAAGTGGGATAGGGCTTTCGAAGAGTCAGCTAGGCAGCTAAATATATATTTTTAAAAACTAAAATAAGCTACCAGATCACTCAGTTAACACTCACCCTCCGAGGATGGCCAAGAAAGGCCTCTGTGGTTTCTCAAGGGCCATGGCAAAGTAGTCCAGCTCTTTCTTCATCAGAAAACCAGCAGCCTTCTGAGGGAGATTCACTCCAACCATAGAGCTGCAGCAAAGCATTAGACAGCACATTTAAATTAAAAAAAAAAAAACAATGAAAACTTCATTTTAAAGACTATTACAGAAAAATAGATTCTCTATTTAGGTTTAGAGCACCTGTGAGCTCTATGTGCAGTTCCGAAAGCATCGTTGACGTATACGTCACCCAGTTTGGACAGGGAGGCTCGGAAAGCATCGATCTCTGCCTGACTTGCTTTGGTCTGGGAATAGAAAATAAAAAAAATTACATTCTTTTTCAGGCAGTTAAAAAATAACATGTAAACAATGCATGTTAACACAGACACGAATGTTCAGAAAGATTCACTTAGATTTTTAAATATGATTAAGCAGAAGCAGCAGAATCCCGGAATTAAAAATTTCACACAATTTAACATTGCGCATTTAATTTTTGTGTTGATGTGAACTTGCTTTTAGTTTAATAAGTCTGCCCTAATATCACGCCACTCGTCAATGCAATGTATGCTTTTGGCTAAAACAAACAAACAATGTTCAAAGAGTAATAGTAAAGACACAGCAAGACAATGGTCAGTCGTCAGTGAGTGTCTATTAGGCTAGTTTGTTTAACCCAATTTATCAGAATGGGCGTCAGTGAAAGCGAGAATACTCTTTTTGGCTGTTCAGCTACAAATCACAGCACAAGAACAAAAACTGGCTTGATAATACCAAGTAAATGTCCAGAGGAAATGCAAAGTATTGTACTCAGTCATATTTATTTAAATAATATGGACTAAAAGTGAAAAGTGCTGTAAAAATGACAAGTAAACGCTGTTAGTATGCTTGTAGCACAGATTCAGGATAGGTTTCCATTCGTGGAATGATACAAATACTGCCACCTGTTGGTATGGGAAGGCATCATGCGTTCCGCACCTGCATGAGATGTTCTTTCAATTAGCTGCCGTCTGCTTAGTGTTAGTTCAGTCAAAAAATAAAAATAAAAAAAATAAGTAAATAGAAAAACGGCTCTCTGATGTCAACTTAGTATGTCCCAGGATTTGCACCATGTGTGGTGGCATTTTCCTCAAAGGAAAGGAATATATATTCAAGTTGATTTTTACTTTGGTCTAAAGGAAAACTGCAGACAGGCCGATTGTATATGCAAATAACACAAACTTAAGACGCTACAAATTTTTGTATGCATTCATATCAAAACACTCGTGCCATGCTGATTTTAAAATGTGCAGATCATTTTTTTTTTCTAGCTGTTTTATAGCACAGACGAATCAAAGAATACTGCAATTAATGTGTAAACCAACAGATGGAATATTAACATTTTATTTATACAAAAAAGGGGGTTTAGCTTACGAAAGTATTTTAGGCCCAGTTACAGTAAGACCTCAGAAACAAGAGTAACCTACATACAGTTATGATTACGCTACTGCCGTCTTCAGAGCTCATGACTTTCGAACTACTGTGAATGAAAGGTTACACAGATGCCTAAATGCCAAGTGCTCATTCACTGCAGTCTGTTGGCAGCAAATAACAGGTTGCTTTTCTCAGTCCTCAGTCTAGGTCTCCTGCCCTTCCCAGCATGCATTCCAGCCAGGGCTCTGAGGCCCAGAAAAGCCACTTGATCACACATGGCCTTCATACAAATGTCAAAAGGTCAGCTGTGTACAGCATGTCTGCATGCACTCACCGCCAGTCCCCTTTAACAGTCGCAGCGTGCACTTGTTGCACTGTAGCGATATTTTAATTTGTAAAATGACAAAACAAAAATAACACAAATTGTACACTACTTGCTGATTTCGTAATATATTAGGACAGTCTAGATAAACACAAATTAAATAATAACATGTAGCCTGATGCAAAAGTAGGAGTATTTTATATTATAACCACTTAATGGGATTCGCCTAGTCATTAAATTGTGATGTTACAGCAGTGTTTTCTCTTGGATTTTTTCCAGCTATGGCGGCAGGCCTTGTTTACACAGATCTACCAACTACCTGTGCCATTATTTCAATGACAAATGTCGTGAGCACAGTATTAGAAGTCGAGATCACATTTATGTAATAGCCTACAGCATGCAGATCTTTTTGCTTGCCCGCTGATTTCCTCTGCTCGTGCACAAAACTTCTTGCTCGCCCCCTCAAATATATGAGCCGCTTCAAAAGCGCGCAGATCTTCTTGTGCGTTCTCAAATAAACGCTGCTGAAGTGCGATTTAGTGCATTTATGTAACGAGTATGTCTCCAACATTTTTTAGATTTGCTAGGAATATTTATGAGTCTCTAATAGACCTACAGAGTGATATTAATGCATCCTGAAGTAAAGTGATCCGGCTTTACGTCGTGTTTGCTGGCCTCACGCATCACTTCATCTGTCAGTCAGTCAATCAGCACAGAACCTTAAAGGGTTAAACAAATGACGCACAGCACTACTACGGTTACAGAAAAGTTTGCGCTGTAATTATTCACTTACCTTTTAATATGTTTTGGTGCGATTATTACCCGCTATTAAAAAAATAAAATGTTTTGAATGAGAAGCTGTAATGTAGCCGTGGCGCTGGAAGAATGAATGTATTGAAATACATGGTTACAGTGTGTTGAAAGAATTTCTATTCTTTTTCTTTTTTAAGCGTTACAGCAAATAGAATTTAAAAAGCATAATTTTTCAGACTATGAAATTCCCTCATTATGCTATTTTTCTTTTCTGTTTGTCAAATTGTATCTATCAATAGATTACAAAAGCTCTTGAACAATATTTGTGTTTCTACAACTGTAATATTACTTCCACTCAACAAACATGCTTTGATTATTTTCAACTTGGTTACTCTAAAATTGTTACCCATTTTGTTTAAATGGGTAAAAAAAAAAAAAGTTTCTTCCTGATTTATTTTCAGACTGTGTGGATCCATTCTGCACTGTACAAAACGCAGTGCATTAGTAAGTGGATCAAAATCTTTGATTAAAGTTGTCCTAAAACTGTTCAACAACACTCATTATTGTCTTCGGATAATATTGAAAAACCTTTTTGATCCATTTCAAATGTTCCACTCTCATGTACACCATGATTTTACATAAATTTCACACTAATGTGTGAAATGACAAAAAAGTTGTCATAAAAGAATATTTTCTCAATTCAAAGGAGTAGCGGCTTGGACCCCAAAAAGTATTCTATACTTAACAAGCGGATGGAAAAATCAGTGGTTAAGTTCTCAGCTTTCTTCACATTCTGATTTTGTATCCAACAGAAAAAAAGTAAACTTTAAAAGTTTATAACCGCTTAAGGGGCAGTAAATATTATTTTTTCTTTTATTTTTTTTTAAATGATGCACTGACCTTGTTACCCGATGCATCTTTGCCCTTGCCCTCCTCAGCCACATGAAAGCGCAGATTCTCCAGCAGAATGACAGATCCTGCAGGAGGGTCTGCACAGGCTTTCTCCACTTCTGGACCCACACAGTCTTTTAGGAACTGAACGTCTCTAGAAATGCAATTTAAAATGTTGTTAAACGTGCACTAAGCTTAAAAGGAGAGCTCAACCAAAAATTACTCATCAAATCATTTCAGATTTTCATGCCATATCAGTAACAATAGCTAATTTCATGACTAAAACAATTAAAAATAAAATACAATAAAGACCACAAATAATTCAATTAGATTTTCTCCCCCCAAAAAGTGAATATTCTGTTCTCATTTACTCAAACAACCCCTTGTTTTTGTTAACCTCAAAATCAGATATTTTGAAGAATGTTGAAGGGTAGCAGCCATTGCCTTCAATAGTTTCTCCCTACCATAGATGTCAATGGCTATAGTTTTCCCAATTTCTTCATAATATTAAGAAGTTTAACAGAAATAAAACATGTTTAGAACTACTTGAGAATAAGTAAATGGTAGGCAAGTTGTCATTCCTTCATAACATCTCTTTAAAAATGCATTGCTTTTAAGATGTCACACTGAAAAAAAAATCTACTACACTTTTCTAATGTTTATGTAGTAAAACTATACAACATCAGTGCAGTCAAACAGATGTACATTATTTAACTGATGGTGCAATACGTGTAGGCTTGCAAGTCTACATTAAGCTCTCCTACTTTCCCAGCAGGTTCTTGAGTTCTGCAGCCACAGGCTCCAGAGAGTATTTGTCTGGCATAGGGACTCCATCAGGCCGGCCCAAGTGGCTCATCAGGACCACAGCTTTGGCACAATTATCTAAACAGTGCTGGATAGATGGGACTGCAGCCTTGATTCTAATGAGAGCATAAGTAATTAGTCACAAATACTGTAGCACAGTGTCAAAACACATGCATGTTATAAAAACTTGGGACAAATGCTTAATGTATTTGCAAAATCATGACTTCAGACTTTAAGTTCTTGTTTTTTTACATTAAAAACTCAAAAAGCAAAAGTATAATCTTTACAAAATAAAACATCACTAGTTGATAAATAGCATATTCCTCTTCACATAATGTACATAAAAAATAATTCACACACCATTTAAATTCAAGTAAACCCTTGGAATTGATCAAACTAATAAATAAAAGTTAACTTAATATTTTGACTTTAGAGAGGAAAAAGACTAACTTTACAAATAACACTTTTCTACAATAAAAAGACAGCAATAACAATAAATGAAACAAAATATACAGATCTAAAACACTTTTAATAAAATTCTACTCCTTTTGAAGGATTCACATTTAAAAATACTTCTCTCAAGATAAATATCGTTGACTGTATGTTTTAGAAAAGATTTAAATAAACAAATTAATTAATAGAAATAAAGAATAGTCATCTAAAATGGTAATCTAAAAATGACAATGCAGCCTTAAAATAAGAATTCATATTTGGAAATTTAATAAATATCTCTTATCTCTTTTACCCATTAACATTAACCCAATCACTTGTATGACGCTTTATCATTTTTTACATTTTAATAAATCAGCAATATTAACGATTCTACATTTTAAAAATTCTGTTTCCTTGAATTCTAACTGAATATTATTTCATAATTCACACACCATTTAAATTCAAGTAAACCCTTGGAATTGATCAAACTAATAAATAAAAGTTAACTTAATATTTTGACTTTAGAGAGGAAAAAGACTAACTTTACAAATAACACTTTTCTACAATAAAAAGACAGCAATAACAATAAATGAAACAAAATATACAGATCTAAAACACTTTTGATAAAATTCTACTCCTTTTAAAGGATTCACATTTAAAAATACTTCTCTCAAGATAAATATCGTTGACTGTATGTTTTAGAAAAGATTTAAATAAACAAATAAATTAATTAATATAAATAAAGAATAGTCATCTAAAATGGTAATCTAAAAATGACAATGCAGCCTTAAATAAGAATTCATATTTGGAAATTTAATAAATATCTCTTATCTCTTTTACCCCAATCACTTGTATGACGCTTTATCATTTTTTACATTTTAATAAATCAGCAATATTAACAATTCTACATTTTGAAAATTCTGTTTCCTTGAATTCTAACTGAATATTATTTCACAAATGTTGATGTTGTAATGCTAACAAATATTACTTGAAACAAAGTACATTCATTTTAATTCCATTAAGGTGTCCAACATTTATATTTAATCATTTTGTGCATATCAATTCATGCAGATCCCAACATGGGATGTCTCGTCTTGGACCCAGATATAATTTGTCGAAATTTAGAAACGAAATGTATCCATCTCACCTCTGGTTATTTGTGATCACATTGTTCTTCATAGGGACATTGAAGTCCACCCTATTGGAAAGAAAAAAAAAACAGGTATTTACTACTGGATTAGATGCACAAATTTACACATCATATATAATTGGAGGATTAAACTGCTCATTCAAATTTCATAAAATAAAATATTAGCAGTGATACAAGAAAATCATCCCCTGCTCTATATCCTTAAATAAATGAATTAATAAAAATACACACGGTGTGCGATGCGTGTGATTTATGGCGATAATATCACCAAACATAATTTTATCATTTAAATTTAGGGCAACACAATGGGTAGCACTGTCACCTCACAAAAAGAAGGTAGCTGGTTTGAGTCCCCGTTGGGTCAGTTGGCATTTCTGTGTGGACTGAGTTTGCATGTTCTCCCCGTGTTAGCATGAGTTTCTTCCAAGTGCTCCGGTTTCCCCACAGACTAAAGACAATCAGTATAGGTGAACTGAATAAACTCAACTGGTTGTAGTACTTGTTTGTGAATGCGTGTGTGAACGTTTCCTAGTACTGGGTTGCAGCTGAAAGGGCATTTGCTGTGACGACCCCTGATTAATAAAAGGACTGAAGGAAAATTAAATTAAATATTCTTTAACTTTAATTTGTTAGATTGTTATATATTTAAATGCTTATTTAAAGTGAGCATCTGTAATTGAATTAAAATTTAAAGATTAATAAAATATTATGCTTTGTTGTTATATAAAAAAGATTGTAAATTGCCATTAACCAATAAAACCTCTGTATGGTGCACACACACTGCTGCACGTTCACATGGTCTCCATGACTACATTGCATTACGTAACACTGTAAAGCCCAATCCAGCACTCGAATGCTTTCAGTGTAAAAACAGTCACTGGTCTAGATGATGATGCTGCTACAGCTTGTAAAATATTATAAATATAAATGTCTGACTATATTCAGTTTGGACGCAGAACGAATTATATCCACGTGTTGCGATCGAAATTTAGAATGACTTATTGTGACACCCTCAAAAAATGGCGAACATTACTTACTCTAAAATGCCATTAAATCAGGTATTTATGTATATTAATGTGAAAAATGTTAAATAGAGTGTCAGACAGTGGGCGGGGCAGGACTGTATGCCAGTATGGACTTTCAGCCAAAGGCTAAACCCTGTTTGACTGTGCTCAGAATACCAAAAGTAATTTATAACAACTATTAAGTGGATGTCGTTTAGATTAGAAGAACATAATATATACAGTCTTGATTCATGTACATTACTAACACTGGTACACGCCACAACATGAATGACACTGGCATGAACACGTTAGCACACGTTTAAAAGACTTTATAAAATATTATGTGATGTTGTATAACGTACTGGTCGTCGGTAAGCATAAAAAAATAAACTGCCTAGGCCCTCTAACATTTGACATTTGCAGTTGAGCTGGTGTCATTTTACCAGATCATTTACACAACGTCTAGAAAACAAAGGCGAAAAATGTTTAAAAATATATCTATAGGTAACTTATGTGTTAAACACCAACATAAGAAGGGTATTAACTAAAAGTTTGCACGTGTATTTAGTGTATCTGCCATCCTGCACGTATCTGGAATCCCGTAAACGTGACGCGTGACAGATACACTTCCGGTTATCAATGACTGAACATCACGGCGTTTATTTATATAAACCTTGAGAGACGCCAACAATTCAAGCTGGCTTTTATATCCCTGTATTACGTTAAAGGGCATACGACGTAAGTTAACTTAAATGAAAAGCACGAACATTGTGATTAGTGAATGGTAGATATAACGGAATGCGCGAATGACAATTCAGACTTACCTCATGATCACCCGCTTTCCTTTCACGTCCACCTTGTCCAAATGAAGTTTGTTCGAAAGAGACATTTTGCCTGTGGTTTGTGCCTCAAAACTCTCCCGGGCTGGTGTGGTGCAGTGCTGGGTAAGTTCCCGAATGAGAATGACCTTAGCTTGATGCTGATGCACACATGGTAGGCGGGGCTTATTGAAGTATGCGGTTCTATAACAAGCGGCAATTGGATGTACTTGCTGTCAATCAATATGCTCAGCTGAGAGGATGTTGAACGTTGATGATAGAACGTGTTGCAATCTTGCTGCCCCCTATCTTGAGATCAGAAATTTGTCAATCACTCCAAGATGTTTCTAGAGAATATTAACCTTCCTATTATTATCCTTGGGGTCAATTCGACCCAATTTAATGTTAAACGTATGTACATATATAATTGACATTGTTTTTTTGCTTCAAATTGAATGACTTTTCCTAATATTATATGGAAAAATTAGAAAACATAAAATTTACATATTATTTTAATGCCCTGAACAGATTTTGTCACATTGGTGTTCTCTGGGGTCAAAAAAATAAGGCAGAGGAAAGCATTACAAACTTGCAGCAATACGGGATGTATGGGACAAGTGGGTCCAGTGATTGCATTTTCTTTACAATCCAGGCCTCCACATCACCGTTGACGAAGGTCTGGTTCCACTTTGTGGCCGCTGTCCCTTTAGACAATATATGTCCAGCAAACCATGTTTGATTTTCTTGGTGTCAAATAAACCTCATACATAATTGTGTTCCAGTCCTTGCTAAAAAAAAATTGTGATTCTTTTCATGTTATATATGAAAATATATACCAATAAAATGTTCAAAATTAGTTTATTAGTACAAAAAGTACCAATAAAACCACTATATATATATACAATTGAAGTCAGAGATATTAGCCCCCTAATCCAAATGATGTTTAACAGAGCAAGGAAATTTTCACAGTATGACCGATCATATTTTTTCTTCTTGAGAAAGTCTTATTTTTATTTATTTCAGCTAGAATAAAAGCAGTTTTAGATTTTGTAAAACCCATTTAAGATCAAATTTATTAGCCCCTTTAAGTTTTATTTTTCCGATAGTCTATAGATCAAGCCATTGTTTTACAATTATTTGCCATATTACCCTAACATGCCTAGTTAACCTATTTACCGTGGTTAAGAAAAATATCTAGTCAAATATTATGTAGTCATCATGGCAAAGATAAAATAAATCAATTATTATAAATTAGTTATTAAAACTATTTGTTTAGAAATATGTTGACAAAAATTTGTTAAACAAAAATTGGGGAAAAATAAAGAGGGGGGCTAATAATGCTGACTTCAACTGTGTGTATATATATATATATATATATATATACACACACACACACACACACTTTTTGAGTTTTAGATGAAACAGTGAGCTTTTTATAATATAGAATTTGTCTAAGTTAATGCAATAGGTATTCTGTATGTGTAAGGGGCAGAAAGTGGGGGTTTGGCAGGGTGTATTTCAGAGAGTCAAAAGGACATCAACTACCTGACGCTAAGCTTTTGGCAAAAAATAAATAAATAAAAATATTCTGGACGTTTTAAATTGTTGGGGTCAAATTGACCACAGTGGGGGAAAAAAAAGTGTTAGCAGATTTTAGGGCAACAGGAGGGTTAAAGAGTTTACTTTGATGGAAACATGGTCATTGATGACTCAATAACCAGACTACGGACATTTTGAGAGACAAGAAAAACATATAGGCCAAACCAAATTATTGCCTGCGGCTCCTGATAATGCACTAAAGAGAAACAGTCAGACTGTACAAAGACATTAACGTTGTTATCATTAATTTAAAGCATAGGTCTCAAACTCAATTTCTGGAGGGTTGCAACTCAGCAGTTTCGCTTCAACGAAGAACCTTTAACATCCATCAAAATATTCTCTTTAAAATGGAAACTGTTCTTTAGATAGTTAAAATGTTTTTCATTGGTACAAGTTTCTTTTAAACACTGTTAACTGAAAGGTTCTTGGCATCTTTTGCATACACATCATATTTGCATATTTTTGACAGTTTTGAATGGGATTTATTTACACCACTTTTTTTGTCTTTAGGAAAGTCCATTTGATAGTTGACCAAATCAAAATAACATAAAAATAAATTAATAACTTAAGTCTGATATGGAAAAACAAGATGGCAATATTAGGATTTATAATTTATTCATTTTTTACAGACATGCCAAGACAGCAACAAGATTAGGTGAAAATGGTCTCCATTCGCAAAATGGAAAAGTTCAGAACGTCACTCAGTATTTCCTAGTATTCGATCAACATTGGGAAATGCATTCATCACTCCTTCCATTCCTTGGGCTGCACCTTGCCTACAGGAGACAGGTTCCATGCAATGCCTGTTGAAGTGATCACCTGCAAAGTGCAAAAGAGCACATAATCACATATAAAATACATAAATAAGATGTACTTGTTTTGAGGATTGTGTCTGTGCTCTCTTACATATGCCCAAACAGCTGTGCAGAATGTGGCTCCAGCAATCAGCAGAGGTGCTCCATACTTGTTATGAAATTCAGGACTCAGATCAGACTTCTGTCGAACAGCCACCTGACGGGCACTTTGACCTATTGTAAAAGAAAAAAGGGGAATTAAAATGAATGTTCATTTACTTTTGACTAGTCAAAGTTATATTAAACACACTGAAATACACTCTAAAAAAAGACTAATGTTTTTTCAAATTATAGCCTGCATGAATGCAAACTTGCAACTAAAAGCAGACCAGTACTAGAATACATTTAATCTTTGACTAGTTAAATATGATAGAAAAAAAATGGTATGAAAGACAAATCGTTGGAAACAGACAGTGTAATAAATCTTTAACAATGTTTAAGTAACAAAATTTTAAGTAACGTTAAGGTTATACATGTGACGACTAAATGAAAACATAAAACGTCTCAAATAGTAAAAGGTGACAAAATACTATGCTATTAATTATGGATGTAACGTACTAAATCAAAACTGAATTAGCTTTAGCATAACGTTACAGGGAAATAGCACACAGTTTAATAAACAACCTAAAACAGACGCTGCTCAGTATTACGTAAAATAAAATCTACAGCCCTTAAAATGAAATGTTTAACTTACCGCTGAGGTTCAGGGCAGCCTTGGCAAAGCGATACATGTTTATGTGCAGGTACAACTGACTGCGCGTGCTAATACCCTTGAACTGAATGGCAGATACAAAATGGCAGAGCGGAAATGAGCGGTCGAGACTTGTACGCATGCGCGAGAGGTTGTCAAAATAAATTTTAAATTCAACCTAACATGTTTTAAAACATTAAACTAAAACTAAAAGACTGGCAGTCAAATACGCTTACCTATACTTTATTACACCAATATGCTGACATATTATTTTTATCTGTAGAGTACGTAACCAGCATTCCAGTTAGATAAACTGTTCCGTGGTTTTACGATGTTATCATTGTTTGAAAGGACTAATAACAATGTAACAATAAGAAATATGCTTTCCCCGTTTAGTACATATAAAATCCTGTGTTTAACATTTACTCTTCAGTCGTGTCAGGATGGCCGAGTGGTCTAAGGCGCCAGACTCAAGGTTCAACCCTTCCGAAGAATCGGGTATTCTGGTCTCCGAATGGAGGCGTGGGTTCGAATCCCACTTCTGACACAAATCTTTTCTGATTTTTATGACCTGCTATTGATAACACAACTATACTTGAGCCATACGTCTACAATCTTAGTAAGAAACCAACTAATCTATCTAGTCTTTTCAGTGTTGTAATCTGACAACTTGTCATTATTATTACATTCAGTGTGTTAGTTTTTTGTTTTTTCATTTTAGAGGATGCTTTTTTTGAAGAGGCTTTTTGGGTAAACATGACTAATTAAACGAGAGTCAGGATTTAAAAAAAAAAACGATTATTTATATTGTTGAAGACCTTTTTTCCCCTTTTCTGTCACGGGATAAAAAAAATCTTTTTATAAATTCTGAATTATAAATCAGAGACAAAGTGCATAATTTTGAACTCAGAACTGCAGAAAATAACATTTATTTCACACTTCTGACTTTTACTTTTATTCTCAGTTCACACCTTGCTGTACTTTTTGCGATTTTGAATATATATCTTGCAATTGTGAACTTTTTATTTAATTCAACATATACTAAATGATACTTGTTGCTTCTAAGTTTATATTTAGCAATTTAAGTTTATATTCTGCAATTGTAAGATTATCTCACATTTCTGAGTCTGAGAAAACTCAGCAATAAATGCACAATTAATGGTTTACACAAGTTAATATTTAACATTTCAAGTATATATTCTGCAATCTCCGATATTCTTAAATCTTTTGTGAGAAGCAAAGTCAAAATTCTGAGAAGAATTATAAGATAAAATGCAATTGCTTTTGAGATTTTCTTTAAATTCCACACCAGAAACAAGCTTCCATTTTAATATGGCCGATATACTGATCATGGTAAAACAAGACACTTTTCTTTTCAGAAGCCCACAATAAAATAAAATACGCAAAGCTGTGAAGCTGTTGATATGTGTAATGGAGGGTTTGGTGTAGTAGGACATAGGGGCAGGTTAAATCCTGCTTAACGGAGGCCAGCTCACGAGTCACTGTTATGTTATTTGGGGGGTCGCGGGCTGAAAATCTTGGGAACCCCTGCACTAGAGCACCTTTAGAGGTAAGACAAGTAAGGTTTACCTGCTTAGCACTTTGCTAGTTGGGTCGTGACCCCCAACATTCTCTGATGTGGTTATAAATATATAAACCTTGCCCAAAACTGCGCACACATACCAATAGGCCCAAATCTATTCATCGTTTAATTTTGGAGAACGCCACTCAAAGACTATACTTAATGTTAAGTTGTGGCCTTTATTTACTGTATACGCAAGTGCCGTAAAGGTGTCAAAAAGGTTAACCAGGGGCTATAAAACCAATGTGCTGCATTTGACGCTATTGCTGTATCTTTAATATGACGTAATCACCCCAGGGGTCGCAAAAATAATGAATAATAATAATAATAATAAAATCGAAAGGCTGATAGCTCTTTATTTGCATGTTGTTTTTAATGTTTATTATTACCATGTTAAAAATGTTACTATTAACAACTATTTTTCTCTTCAGTAAGGTATGAATAAAACATGGTAATTCTAATAGTGAAAATCACCAAGCGGCCACAAACTAACAAAAAATGCATGCAAACATTTGATTTTATCCTACCAATAATATATTTTAATAAGATGGTATTTAAAAATCTCACAAAAGTTCTGTAATTATAGATTTGACACATTTAAACATGAGTTATTTAACAGTATATGTAGGCATAATTAAACCGAAGTTGATTCAGTTCAGAAAATTTTCAAATCTTTATTGACAACAACTTTGCAAGTTGTTTACTTTTTAAGAATCATATTTCACTGCAAAAAAAAGCAACAAAAAAAACAAGATTTCACAGCAAAAAGATGTGTGCATGATCTGATGATCGACATTTTAAGACTAAAAGCTCTTTTACGAGCTTAAAGAAATCTATCTATCAATCAGACAAAGCATGTAAAAGACTCAAAAAAAATACAACAGGTTTTTCAACAAAGTTGATCCTGTTGATAACTTAGAGCTCTTAAATCAAAAATCCATAAAGCACAATGGTAATAAATCACAATCTTTAATAATGAACAGAAAAGGTGTTTTGCAAATACTTGTATCGGTAACAAAGCTGAAAACATAATCTTATGGAATGTTACATTACATTTAATCTACAAACATCCTGAGCAGATATTAAGACTAGCATATCACAACCTCTTTAGTATCGGTCAAGTTTTAATCTAACTCAGGGAAACCGTTGAGACAGTTCCCTCCTGAATGACATCTCTTGCCTTTTTTAATGCGACGCTCATTTAAAAGTATTCTAGTGTGTTTTAGTGTATTTGGTTTAGATGATCTCTGGTAAGTTAAAAATCTGGAGCAAACAAACAAATAACAAGCGTGAGAAATTGTGTCCCGTATTTACAGCAAGCCATATATATTCCTGCAGGGCTACGATGAACATATTTACCCAATAGTTCTCCTTAAGACATGATTATAACTCACAGTTGTTGTAGATATAACAATTGTTTAATGAATACAGTGATACGAAATTCTATTTATAAATGTGACGTGGTAATTAAGGTCACGGTGATGTACATGAAATGACATGGATGTTCATCAGACAAAACAAGAGACGGCAACAAAACTAGGTCATGGTTTGGGTCCGCTCTAATCCTTCTTTTTGTCCTTGACTTCCTCGTCATCTGTGTACTCTGTAGGTTCTTCTCCAGGTTTGAGAAGCTTCCCGATGTAATCGTACTTCTCTGTGAAGGAAAATAATAAGCTTTTACTCCACATCAGCGGCCTGTTCCACAAAGCTGGTTCGGGTTTAGTTTGAGCAAACTCTGAATTTTTGGGCCCAAGAAGGTGGGTTGATTTTGATTGGTGCTTGTTTGGTACCTTGTGCTACATGGCTAACATGCTCCATAGCAGGCGGGCTAATACATGAAGCTGGATTAGCTGGTGAGCTGGTAAAGTTTCAATTTAGTTTGCACCAATTTTGGGTTTTAGGTACCACGGAGGAAGCTCAGCTGCTCCTTATTACCATGGCAACAAAGAACGGTTAAATTTTAGCTGTATTCATGCTTCATAAAACCCAAGATTAGTGCAAAATAAACCAAAACTTAGCCAGCTAATCCATTTTCATGGTACAGGCCCCTGTTCTGGAGCACGTTAGCCATTTAGTGCAAGCCAACCAACCCACTTTCATTATCCCAAAAATTCAGAACTTGCACAAACTATACCTGAACTTAAACTAAATCGGCTTTGTTCTGGGTTAAAGAATGCAAACCCAAACTGGAGCTCTGAGTAAAGCTGTTAGTTGTGAGTAAAGTGTTAAATATATCAGATTCATTAGGCCCACTCCCAGACCCCATGAATCTTGTTGGCTCCAAATTAAAGTCTTCTTACATCAAGTATCTTTGTGGCTATTAATTATATGAATTACATGTATTTATACTTAATTCAAAACTATTTAAATGTGTTATAGTGTCAACTAATACCAATAATGGCTTTGAATTAACATTAATTCACATTTAAATGTTTACATAAATAGTTTAAAGCTGCTAAAATAACTGTCTTATGAGGCATTTGTGAACTTTATAAAAAGAAGATTGATATAATATCCTATTTAAGTTCCTAAACTTGCTCAGCAATGTTTATTTTTGCCTTGTAAATGAGTTTAAATGCATTATACTTCTGACAATGATCTCTACAAAACTTAAACAAAGAAGTGAATTGCACTGACTTTCCTTTGAGAAATCATTAAAATGATAGGCTGTTCACAAGTTCAGGTGCATGCTCTCCAGAGTTTTTCACAAACTGAGTTAATACAGACAGTTCAAATTGAGCATTGTGAAAACACCTTAAGCTATGAATTAAGTATAATTCAAATAACCATTAGCAACAAAAATCTTTTTGGTGTGAAAAGGCTCTAATTTGGAGCTAAAAAAAAAGTATGGGAACAAAGATTGGCTTTATTGAATCAGATTTGTCACTTTACTCACAGCTGATTGGTCCAGTTTGGGTTTGCATTCTCTAACCCAAAACAAAGCCGATTTGAGATTAGTTCAGGTTTAGTTTGAGCAAACTCAAACTGGGCGCAAAAAAGTTGGGTTGGTTGGCTTGCTCTACATTCCTAACTTGCTCTAGATCAGGGCCTTGTGCCATGAAGCTGGATTAGATGACTAGCCAGTTAGGTTTCAGTTTAGTTTAAACCAATTCTGGCTCAGCTGCTCCATAATATCATTGCAACAGAGACTGATAAAAAGTCAAGCTGCATTTTTGCTTACTTAAACCCAGGATTGGTGCAAACTAAAACTTGTTCAGCTAGTTTTGTATAACAGGTTTCTGGCCCAGAAAATCAAATGTGCAAAATGTGTAGTGTCCTTCAACTCACGTGTGAACTGGGTCTCCCACTCGCTCAGGCTCTCCTGCTGCATGGCATTGAGATCGGAGAGATCATCATGAGTGTCTTTCAAGGCCTCTTTCTCCAAACAGAACGTAGCCAGGCCTCTGGACGCATCCTTGCCCGCGAAGACTCCGTAAGGGCCCTCTGAAGGTGAACAAAATGAGTGTTAGTGCTCTCCAAGTATATTACCAAATAAATGTGGTAGGTATGGGATTTTAATTTAAATATCTGCATTCCTGCAGTATTTTTACATGTTGTCAAATACTTTTTTTAAGGCAACAGTATATCCAGCAGCATAGAACCATCTGATTTAGCAAACATTTGAAAAACAAATCATTACATGCACCAACATCCAAGCAAGATATGGACCTAAACAGTGCAGTGGCTTATTTACATGCAAAAAAGGAAAGATATCCAAAGATGTATTTTCAAGTGGTAAAAAAATCTGTGTTTGAAACTAATGAAGATAGCAGAAGTCAATGATTTATTTTAATTATTTAGTACCTGACATGTTTACCGTTTCAAAGTAATTCAAATGTTTCTTAAAATAAAATATGTTGTGATCAATGGTGGAAAACAGTTGTTTTTTTTTCCCCCAAACATTTAAAAAGAACATATTATAAGAGCAGTAATTACAATACTGTAAAACCGTGATATTTGTATCCAAGCTACCATCAGAAACTTATATCGGCACACGCCTAATATGTGGTATGGTTATCTGGGATGAAGAACTGTTTCTGTGCCTAGTAGACATATGAAGTGTCAACCTTTATCCGAGTTTAGTTAATCATTCACTGATGACCAGCAGATTTGGCATTGCAAAAGTGTGCACAAAAGCTACTAAAAGAAAGAAAATACCAGAACAGCGTTTTGGTGTTAGTGTAACAACAATGCAAACACAAACACACTTCTGTAGGTTGCGTGTTACTAGTTAACATGATAGTTTTGAAGTGTTTAGCAGTTATGACTAGGCATAAAACATGCAACACAAAAGGGCGTGTCAGTAATTAAATCAATGCTATTTTAATAAAACACAATAGATTATTCACGCGTAATTTAAAAAAAAGTTCCTCGTAAAACAAACAAACAAACAAACAAACAAAAACAAGCAGCTGAGATAAGTTTGAGATCACACTCTCGATTGAGATATTTAAGTTGATACCTGGACCGTAGAATTTCTTCCCTCTTGTAACATCAAATACTTTCCCGTTGACAGCCATCAGGATTCTTGGGTTTTTCAGTCCATCGTACTCTTGCAGATCTGCTAAAGTGAAATCTCTTTTCTTGAGTTTAGGCAGCGGCTCCTCAACCGGGCCATAGTCTGCAGGCTTGTCTCCGCGGATGATTTTGTAAAGTAGGAACAAACAAAGACATAGCAAACTGATGTTCAGTGGCGACGTGAAAATTTCCTGAAGGATTCCAGAAGTTTGCTCGACTGCTTCTTCAGCCATTTCGATTCTGATACTGTGCGTGAGAACATCGAGGCTCGACGTCGACTGCAGCTGTGCACCAATCACAGAAGCCAAAAACACACAATGGTGAGGCGCCAGCCAATCAGAGTCGAGGTGGATGTTCTGGGGTGTGTAGTTTTTGCGATGGGGTTGAAGTTAGCTGTTATATATATTTACATTTGCATTTGAGTATTTATTTAAAAACGTCTAATAAAACCCAATGACTGTAAACCGCATTAAGTTCCTTTCAGACACCCCCTTTTATCTTTATATCATGACAACCAATTTATGCAATTTATTGTTTAACTGTGTTAAACTTTAAGTTTAAAAGTAAAAAAAAAAAAAAAAAAAAAAAAAAATATATATATATATATATATATATATATATATATATATATATATATATATATATATATATATATATATTTATTCTGTTTCATGGCAACATTTATTATCCTGTCATATCCTGTCATGCACTTAATCTTAAAGTTCTGTATTTATGAATTACTTTAGTTATGTGTTGACTGTTTAAGTACCATAAAGACTTTTAATAATCTATATGAGGATTTAATTAATGTTAAACAAGGAAATTTTCTTTCAACCCTAATCAAACACTGATCCAACTAATCGAAGTGTCTGTTCAAGACTATTAAAGAGATGAAAGTGAGGTGAATGGGTTTAAACTATGCAGATCTACGGCCCTCCAGGAAATGAGTTTGAGACCACTCTTTTAAAATAATATAACTAACTGTGGCTATAAATAATGTTGTTATATTAATTGTGACAATATGTATTATTGTATAATACTGTAATGTATCAATACAATATTAATACTAATAATGTATCATGTATAACATTGTAAAATGTTATCAAAATGTTTCTGGGAAATATCCTATCCCATTTCCAGGACCCGTTGTTCCTGATACGTCCAGTAGAGGGGATGGTGGTTAGGTTTAGTGGAGGGTTGGGTTGGGGCCACACAATCGGTTTGTGTTGAGACAACATGAAGAAATTAAGTTACCTTAGTTGTTTTTTTTTTTTTTTACAAATTGAAGTGGATGGAATAAGAAAAAATTAAGTTGTTCCAAAGAACTCAAAGATTGTGTTGCTTCAGATCATATTAAGTAAGTAGCTTAAACAAACAGCAAACAATTTTCTTTGGTGTAATAACGGGACCTTCTGGAATTTTGGTCCCAGAACTGTGGCCTGGCAGCCTCTCTAGTTATGCAGGAACCGACAGGAACACACGAGTTCGTCCTCCAGACAGCAGGTGGCGGGATAAAATGTTAGGGATTGTTTCATTCCTCAATGGAGGAGAGAAGAGCAACGGGAAAAACAAAACACATCAGTGCTAAAGTCCAGTGACGTGGCCGCATACACAGAAGAGAAACAGAGCAGAAGGTTGAGTATGTCATGTCCGTATTTTATACAGTTTAATATTATCGTCTTCTGTCAAATGACATTTATAGCGCTCAGCTTGCTGGAATTCGACTAATGATAATATAAGTTAGCTTAGCGTGCTACTGTGGCAGACATGTAAAGTAAATGGCTAGGATGCACTTCAGCATCAAATATAACAGCTGTTCGTGTGGATTGTGCCTAACATTTAAATCTTTAGTTTAATGTGTGATGCAGGCTGTGTAAATTTGTGCTGTATTGAAGGCAGTTTTGTACACAATAATGTATCATGAAGCAACCCTTTTCTCTTAATGTAAGTGTTAAGGCATTTATTTGTCTATTTCAGAAGACTGCTATGTGTTAAAATGTCTGATAACGAAGACTCCTCAAGTGACCAAACAGAGAAATCAGTGGACCAGGAGCCCACAGCGGCAGCACCACCTCACAGAGATGAGACTGATGGATCTGATGTAGCACCAACCCGAAAAACCAGGAGAAGACCTGAGCAGAAACTTCCAGCAGAAGAGCAGGAGAACCCCGAGACACAGCAGACAACAACAACAACGAGTGCTTCAGATGTACGCTTTCACCATGTGGAAACTGATAATATTAATATTTCTTAATATTAGTAATCTTCTGGTATTCCTCAGATTATAAAAAGAAACATACTGTATTTTGTTTTGGTGGTAATTACTTAGTAAAATTTGGCATTTTGAGTGGATTTTCTGGCACTAGATCAGTGGTTGAACCCAAAATCCTCTTGTTGTCCATTGACTTTTCTAGTCTAACAAAATTATACATGTTTATGTTATTAGTATTTTATTTTCCCCATTAATTTCCTATTGTCTTCCTATTATCTTTCCTATCTTTTCCAGTAAAAATGTTAGCGATTTTACTTTTTTTCATAGATCACCAATTAGTCTTTTTTAAAATAAAAATTATTTAAAATTATGTAAAAGCATGACTGAAGACCAGCGATGCTCTGATTGATCGGTTGGAGATCGGTATCAGCTGATAAACACATTTAATGACTCGATTGGCACTCGCTGATCTGGTCGATCTCATGAAGTGATCGCAAATGTTTGTTTATGGTTTTACATGCAGAGGAAGATGCACTTGCACACCAGAGTTATATATACAGCAGCTACTGCATGTATTTAAGCCTTTTTACATACAGTATAAGAACAACTAAAAGTTCTGTTTTTGATAATATTGCAAGTTCACCAAAACATGGCTGGTAATATTAGATAAATAAATAAAAAACTTAAAAAGGCTATTTTTAACATGAATTTTAAATAATGTAACATCTTGTAATTTACTTATTGCAATAAACAGTAGTTTATAGAACTATTTCCTTTTAGTAAGTAATGGATTTATAGGTATAAATTTTAACTTCTTATGCATCAAAAATGCGCTCCAAACCTTTTCTTGATTGAGACCTGTTGCATTCTTCTTTCATCATTTGCAATGTTTCTAAATTGCATTGTTTGTAAATTTTTTATTATGTTCTGTAAAGCTGCTTCTGACCATGAAAATGGTCAGAAACCACGCTAAATGGTTATTAGAGACATGTTTAAGGGATTATATGCAACATTCTTCTCAAGTATCTTACTTGGAGGGAATGTGCTTTAGGCTGTATAAAGCTTGAAGCATTAGAATCAGTACTCTGTATCTGTATATTACAAGGAAACGGTACTCTGTATCGGCTGCAAATATCCTGATCCCTACTGAAGACCATCAGTGTATTCATAATGATATAACTTCTCTATTAGTAAACTATTTTTCCCCCCATCAGGCCTCCACGGAGACGACTGTGTCCCAGGGTGGCTGGGGTTACTGGGGCAGTTGGGGCAAATCTATCCTCTCCACTGCTACTGCCACTGTGGCCACTGTTGGTAAGAGACACACAACTCTTTAAATTTTATTCTGTATTAAGATACTATAGCTGAATACAGTAAAAAACATGCAAACTGATATTTATCACCACACTTTCCCAGTTTAGGGTCTATATTAGGAATTGCAAATATTTAATTTTTATTTTTTTTTAAATATGATGTTTAAATATGTAAATGAGCCATTATTAAATTAAATATGCACTAATTTGAATACATTTCTTGCATAAAAAAATCTGAACATTGGATGGTGTTTCCATACAGTAGGTTAGACCTGAATCAAGCCAATCCAGTTCCAGTTATATCAACATAATCCTTTAAGAATTTGTTTTAATCACTCTTCAAATCAGGAAATACTGGGAAAATTTAACTGTCCGTTTTTTAGTAAAATAAAATGTTGTATATAAACAGCTAAATTATGTGTAAACACATCACTCAGTAAAAACCTTATAAAGAATATATAATTCAATATAGAACTTTTAAAAAATAATTGAATATAGAAACATAATTCAGTATAGAAATAAGTAATGATAATTCAGTATAGAAATGAATAAATAATTTAATATAGAAATTAATAAAAAATAATGCAGTATAGAAATGCGTAAATATAATTCAGTATAGAAATGAATAAATATAATTTAGCATATCAATGAATAAGTATATTTCACTATAGAATTCAATAAATATAATTCAATAGAGAAATGAATAAAGTTCAGTATAGAAATGAATAAATATAATTCAGTATAGAAATGAATAATCATAATTCAGTATAGAAATAAGTATAATTCAGTATATAAATTAGTAAATTTAATTCAGTATAGAAATGAATAAATATAATTCAGTATAGAAATGAATTAGTATAAATAAGTATAGAAATAAATATAGTTCAGTACAGAAATTAGTAAATATAATTCATTATAAAAATGAATAAATATTATCAATATAGAATATAATTCAATATAGAAATAAATAATTATAATTCTGTATAGAAATGGATAAATATAATTCAGTATAAAAATAAATATAATTCAATATAGAAATGAATAAATATAATTTAGTATAGAAATTAATGTAATTAAGTTTAGAAATGAATAAATTTAATTTAGTATTGAAATGAATAAATATTATCAATATAGAAATAATTAAGTAATTAATAATTAAGTAGAATAAAATAAAGGATATATATATATATATATATATACTTATCCAGCATATGTTTTACACAGCGGATGCCCTTCCAGCTGCAACCCATTACTGGGAAATACCCATACACACTCCTTCACACACATATACTATGGCCAATTTAGTGTACTCAATTCATCTATAGCACATGTCTTTAGATTGTGGGGGAAACTGGAGCACCCGGAGGAAACCCACACAAACACGGGAATTAAAAAAAAATGTGAATATAAAATCTACTAATTGGAAATTGCTAAAGTGTGACAAAAGAAATACCTAAAATGTTTCTTGCAAAAAAGCACTTTGTGTACATTATGCATATTTTACAAAAAGCCCAAAATCTCAAAATTGATAGGGGCATAAAAAAACTTTTTGCCTACTATGCCAACTTTTTACTTTAATCATTTTATGAATAAAGTTATGCTATTTTGGATAGAATCGGAGAGCTTTCTGATCCTCTGAATTTTAATCTCGGATTTCATCCAAAAGATAATTTATATTCTGAATATGAAGGTCTCGGGAGTTTGGAAGTGATTAACCTTTTTAATTAGCTCGGTTTGTATATCATGTATATCATACTGTCCAATTTTTGTTTAAGGCCAAGGCTTGACCCAGGTCATTGAGAAAGCAGAGTCGTCTTTAGGCATCCCCAGTCCTGAGGAGCTGAAAGCCCAAGTGGAGGAGGAGGAAAAAAACGATGGTAAGCATGTGCAGTTTCTTTAAATTGATGTTCTTGGTGTTGCATATACACAGTGTTAATGTTTCTGTCTTGTGTCTGCAGATTCAGCCAGCTCTGAGGCAGATAGAGATGAAAGTGAGAAGACGTATGGAATGGGAGGAGCAATGGGAATGATCTCCTCCAGCAGTATGGGAATGTTGTCGTCTTTAACCACTGTGGTTCAGAGTACGGTAAGAGCAAGTTAAATCTTGCAGAAAAGTCTGCATCTATTTTGGGAATCCCTATTTATTTTACTTGTGAATAATTTTTGTTTTGTTAAGTCAAACTAATGATCGACTTAGTAGTAATTTTTTTCAATTATATTTAATAGCTATATCAACACATTCAGTAATTAATAACCATTCATTATTTATTTATTCCATAATTTCTTCATTATTGAGACATTATTTAACTAATGGCTCATTCACTGAGGCATAAGTTGCAGGAATTCAGGAATGCTAAGCAGTTAATTAATTATTTTGGTTATATTTTATTTTAAAGTACAATTCTTGCTATTATTAAACCATTAACTTTGGCTTTTGCCTCATTAAACTCCTAATTTGCTGTTTATCAATAGTTATTAAGATAATAGTTGGATTTAGTTACTGGCTTAGGGATGCAGAATATGTACTTTATGTACTAAAAGGCCAATATCATCATCATAATAATAGGCATGCCAATAAGGAACTAGTTACACTGAAGTGTTATCATTATTTATGTATTTATTATTTAATAATTTTAAAATAATTTTTCCACGGCTTGGTATGCTGGTTGAACATTTCTGAATTTTCATTGCCAATTTTAGCCAATGGTTATTCAGTTAAAAGCCAATGGTCGTAATAGTTTGTTTTGGGCCAATTTCCACATTTTCTTTGTTTTATTGTATGTATGTTTTTACACTTCTTCTCATGTTTGATGACTAGAGTAAAACAGTAATAAGCGGTGGCCTTGATGCATTGGAGTTTATCGGGAAGAAAACCATGGATGTGATTGCAGAGGGAGACCCCGGCTTTAAGAAAACCAAAGGACTGATGAACAGAAACTCCACACTATCACAGGTACAGGAGAGAATAAGATTAAAGAATATATTCATAGCAACTTCAGCTGCCCTCCTGACACAAATATATTACTCAATCCTATCTGATTTTGTTTGCATTAAACTGATCTGATTTTTGTTTCCTTAAAGGTCTTGAGAGAAGCCAAAGAATGCGAGGAGCAGCAAAAAGCTGAAAATGCCACTTCAGAACCAAACAAAAAGGCTCATTATGGGATGCTGTTCGACGAGTTTCAAGGCTTGTCTCATTTGGAGGCTTTGGAGATCCTGTCTAGAGAGAGCGAAGCCAAGGTCAGTTCTTGACTGATTTAACACACTGAGATAGAATATGAAATGGTGAAAGATTTAAACATGTTGTGATTTGGTGCAGGTGAAATCTGTTCTGACAACGCTGTCTGGCGAGGAGCTGACAAAACTTAGAGAAGATCTGCAGAATATTAAAGAGCCTTTTTCACTCATGGAGTTTGACGATGAGCTGGAGGATGATACGAAATGTAAGAAACTACAATTAATACAAGGCTAAAATTTACAAAATTAAACATTAAATTCTTAGTTCAAGCACAAATTAAGATATTTTAAATCAAATCTTAGAAATGCATGTCCCTTAATTGAAAGTCTATTCTCCTAAAACTCTTCAAAATGTTTATAAAGAGATTTTTAAAACTCCATATGGATTGAGCAGTTTAATCTAAGCCTGCTGGGGAGACACGGTTAAAGATGAACATTTAATTTAGGCTTTTATACACATACAAACAGAGATTAACAAATTACAGGAGTCAGCAGGTGTCTAACAGTTCATTATCGATCAAATGACTAACACTTGACTTAACACTCTTCACATCTTCATGTCCATCTACATTTGGACTTGTTGCAAGTAACAGTCAGGGGTGCGTTTCCCAAAACCATTGTTAGCAAACTAAGGTCACAAGTTCCGTCGTTACAAACATAGTTTGTTGATTTGCCGTTTCCCAAATCCATCGCTCCAACGAACATTTGCAAACTTAAGCACTTGAAACGACGCCTCTAGAGCTGCAGTTAGAAACATAGTTCCTGGCTGTGTTCTATTCCCACTTATCCCCCCATGCTCTATTCCTTTAGAACATTCTCATATTCAAAGTTGAAATTATTCAAAATAAAAAAGTATTAATGTCATCTCTCTTAGGTGTAATTTGCTTCCAAAGTATTTTTACAGTTCAGTTTTAGCGATCTTCATGTTTACAATAGTGCTCCTTCGCAGTGCACTTTGAAAACATTGATGTCATTTTGAACACAGCCTTATGGCGAAAGCTTTAGGTGCCTAATTATTTAAAAGCGTAATTTACATTACATCACCAAAGCTTGTGAAAGCAAAAAACATATCTTACCTTAATTCTTTTAATTTATAGTGGGTTATTTATTAAGTATCTATACTGTATATGACATGGGCCTGTTGGATAGAACTTTCTGCTGTGGATTACGTGTCAAATTGTAAAAATAGACTTTTCAAACAAAATAAATAAACAATAGCCTACTTAATAATAATAATAATAATAATAATAATAATAATAATAATAATAATCATCGTCATCATTAATGTTATTAATATTATTATTAAAGTAGGATTTTTTAAATTTCCTAATAAATATTACATTTCTTATAAATACTTTTATAATAAATAGCCTCATTTATTTATTTATATATGATATTAGAATACGTGTTCACCTGTGGGGATCCGGGGTGGAATAGGTCCCTAGCACCCCCTTGCTGATCGTAAAAGGTGAGTTGCAACCCATGTCTATGGAGAAAGCGATCCTGGCATTCGAGGAATGTGTGTAACTGCGGTTCCCTCAACACCAACACAGTGCTTTGGCTCCAACTTCACATAGACGGGAGGTTGGATGGGCGTAATCCAATCAATCGGCTGGTCAAGACTTACTTTGTAAGACAATGGCTAAAGGGGTCAATCAAGGAACGGGAACTTTGTTCTGCTTACTTGAGTATATTACCTCTCTATGCATCCCCTTGTTGGGCTCCGAGGTGGGTAAGGAGCAGAAGTAATGAAAAAGTTCTATACAAAGATGGCAAACTCAAAAAAATCCAAACAACTCAGATGACGACTCAGAGAATGGATATTTGACTCTTCAAAAAGGCAATACATGGCAAAGATTCATAATTTTAGAATCAACTGAAATGGAAATGCCGCTGACAAAACCTTTTGCTATACAAAAAGGTATCGCTGGAATTGCAGGAACAGTTAAAGATGTGAAAAAACTCAGATCTGGACAAATACTAGTTGAATGTTTGAAAATAGCTCAAGCGGAAAACTTGATTCATGCAAATATGCTGGCCGAAGTACGTATGAAGACTTTCTACCACCCCTCTTTTAACACTAGTAAAGGTGTAATACGTACAAGAGAACTGCAAGACATGGATGAGGCCGAGATCCAAATGGAATTAATGCAACAGGGTGTAATTCGTGTAAAAAGAATTACAATCAGGAGTGAAGAGCAGATTATCAAAACTGTAACCTACATCATGACTTTCAATAAACCACATCTACCAGAAAAGATCCACTTGGGATACCAGAGTGTACCAGTCAACACATTTATCCCAAATCCATTAACTGTTCAACTGTCAAAAAAACTCAAATGATCATATGCATCTGTGGTAAAACCAATCATGAGCTCTATAAAATGCCAAACAGATTTGACTTGGTTAAAAATGATAAACCTCAATGCCTAAACAAAAACTAAAACTCGAATGAAAATAAAACCCATAATGCTTTAAACCAGACTCAAATGGATGAAGATCAATGCCAGATAAAGGAACCAAATGTTTAATCAAGAGAAAGGAAAACACAAACATCAATCATCAAAGAATAGTTCGAGTAAAAAAAGTCACAAACCAGAAACTTCAAAAGATGTGGATATGAAAGAGATCCTAACTTCCAGAAGCAGAAGTTTATCCCTGAAATGTAACAACAAATGAACTGTTTTTGTTTTACCTACCTAAATATAAAGAACTAATGATACTTATACTTAAAACAGTTTTTTCATCTACTGCGTGAGAATGAGAGATAATGGATCTACTTTCACTCTTGGATAGGGAAACCTTTACGCACAGACATCAATTAGTCTATAAATAATTAATTGCATTTGTTAAGTGCAAATATTCATTTGAAAACTATTTCTAAATTCAGGTCTAATTTCCAGCAAACGAATAAATGAACAATAATAACGAAGTGTGCTCAAAAACCTTTGTTATATCCTAAAACACATGCTGCCCCATATGGTCTAAAACCTGACAGGTGGGCAAATCTAAGCTTGTTTTTAATAAAACAAATATAAATATGGATATTATAAATAATACTGCTAATAATAATAACATTATACAAAAGCAAATTGTTATGAATGAACTGAAAAAGCCTCCCGAGATGAAGACATAAAAGCCGTGATTTTTCATATTTATGTAGGCTAGAAAATATGTTTTATAATATTTTAATTCTTTATATTTATATCCTATATATATTCTTATCATATCCTATGTATATCCTTAATATTTAAATTTTTTCATATGTAAAGATAATTGCCTATTGCTCTCTTGTATGTATTAAGCAGTGTGTAAGCGAGGCGCAACTCTGCGCTGGAGTTTAGATCGGGTTTGTTTTGGTCTAATGAAAAATTTATTTTAGTTTCTCAAAATAGCAACGCACCAGCAGTGTGCCTCAGAACGCCTTTCCTTTTTAGACCAGAACGCCTATGGACGCACATATGAGCGCTAATGCATTTGCTATTTAAACCGCGTAGCGCAACGCCTCAAAACGACTCTTGCGCCAAGCTGAAACTAGCAAAAGACTATTGCGCCTTGCGCCACATTGCGCCGGGTGTATGATAGGGCCCAATATTTTTGACAACTCTACATATTATATACTTTTGCATTTGTAAGTTGGTAAACATGTAACTGGTTCCTAAAATTAGGCACATAATATTTTTATATTGATCGATATTCCACTAGGAATAGAAACTATTACAGTTTTTGAAATACAGACAAATATATTCAATATATTTTATCGGATTGTATTGTATTGTATTTTATTGTGACAAGATGTTCAGTTTACACCCCTACTCAGTTTTAGTCATAGAACTCATACATGCTTTCTCAATGTGTGAGTACCAACGAGGTTTATTCTTGCATCACATGACAGATGTTTGAGCTTCTGCAAGGACCAATAAGCTTTGCTGATGTGTGTCAATATGTAAATAAAACATCCAATGAAACACATTCCTTATGTAGAGAAACAATTTGAATCTAATCAGTTTGGAAGCATGAGAGTTTCAGAGTGAAAAGACTTTAAAAGGACGGACCGAAATTTCTCCCATTTTATTAAAAATATCTTCCATGTGCTCCAAATGATGAACAAAAGTCACAGGTTTGCTCATATTATTATTTTTTTAATCCTCAGGTGATGATGGAGAGGACTTTGTGAAGGAACTAACAGATGTTCTTAAAGGACTACAGATTTCCACATCAGCAGACAAACTCAGCAAGGTTTCACTTGAAGATTAGTTACAAATAAATGCTCAGGTATTTTGCTTGTGAGATTATTTACACTTTCTTATATTAACTTAGGCCAGAAAAAATGCATTCAACCATATCACAAACATGAAACTACGAAGTGAAAACATTGAGAAAGAAAAAGAGGACAAAGAAGAAGGAGAAGGAGAGAAAGAAGAAAGACAGAAGGAGAAGAACACAGAAACCGCAGAGACCGAATACACAGTTGAGGTCTGCATTAACATTATTTAGCCGTAAATAATGTAAATGTTATACACATGCACATATTTTACATTAAATAATCTGTTTTTATTAAGTTTTCATTGCATTGACTAAAGCTCTTTTTATAGGATGCCCATTTGTCTGCCATCACGAGTTTGGCCGAGTTCACAGCGAGGTCCATCGAGCAGTTCCACAAAACAGCTGAAATGTTGCTTTACTCTAACACTGAAGGGGCCGCGGCCCCAGAACAAGCAAAAATCCTATCACAGTGAGTTATCCTGTTGAAGAAACTGCCTAACATTGTCCTTTTGAGAAATTTAAATCACCTGTGTTTCTCTTGCAGAGTCACCATTGTTATTTGTAAGGAGGTCTCACTGCTATCCAAAAAGTTTACATCATGTTTGACTACCATTGGGGTAGGATGCTTATCTTGCTTAAAAGACAGTCTGGAGATCTTTAATATTGTTTGTAAACATTAACTCTTGTGCATCTGTGTGAACATTTTACCTTTATCCATTTTATTGTTAGATTTGTTAATGCAGACAGCTCACATTTTGGCAAAAAAGGTTGCATTTTTATTGAAATTTACCTTCATAAATATTTTTCACTCGGTACAAAAATGTCCCAATTGAAACCCATTAAATCGGCAATATTTCATCACAGTGGCATATAAACAAAAATCAAGCCATTTTTGTTAACAGGCATTCATTTGTTTGGCTTCAACGATTTTACAAATGGTAAAATTTGGAATATTTTGTCAGCTTTGGTCTGTGGATTTGATTTTTACTGTTTCGGGCCAAATTGCAGGCCAAATTAAATATCTTATGTAGTTATGAATAATTAATTTTGCTGTTATGAAGATCATAGTTGTGTGTATATAATGATGATATTGTATTTGGGTATGTGGAAGTTTCCTTTTTTTCAATGTGACACTGCATAAAAATGCATTAATGTTGTTTCTGATCATTGACATCCACAACTACTCATATAAACCCCCTGCTGAGCCATTAATAATCAACAATTTAACAACCATGCAAGCAAACTGTTATTCTCTTTACTGTCAAATCATTCAAATGAATTAACTTAAGGTAATCATTAGGATTGATGCTAGAAAATACGTCAGAGTGAAAACAAAAGTGTCAAATATATTAAAATATGGCACTTTTATTATGTTTAAGTAAACATTTTTGTCCACTATAGACCTTATTCTCTGCAGACGAGCGGGCGCTGCCATTTGAATCTTTTTGGCACGAGACTTCCGGTCTCATTCACTTCCATTCATTTTTAGACATTAAAAACTGCTCGTTTCGCTGTTTAATGTTGCAAACTGATATTTCCTTGTTATATTATTCTACTTGGTCTGTATAGTTATGCAAACATTTGTTTGTAGAGCAAGTAGTTTGACCGTTTTTTGCCGTTTATTATTCCTTGTCATTTCTCCCATAGGCGACTGAAACGGAAGACAATCGCGAAAACAGGCGCACTTCCGCATTTTAGAATAAGGTCAATAGACCCGTGTAATTTTATTAAAGGAACAAACAACTTTAAGCATAACCTCATTTTACAAATCCAAGCACTTTTAGCTTAGCCTAGCATCGATCATTGAATCAGATTAGACCATTATCATCTTGCTCAAAAATTTTAAAAGAAGAGTTTTGATAATTCACTAAGACAGACGGAAAAGTATTTTCTAGGTCGATATATCTAGGAACTATACTTTCATTCCTGGTTAATCAATGACTGAAAAGTAGAATTTTCCTTTAAATTAACATGCAAAGGCTAACCCAAAGAATCCATCAATCAACATTACTTGATATTGTAAGAACTTTCAAAAAGGCAATAACATTTTATTGTATGTTATCCTATTATTTTAAACAATGTATAAAAAACTATATCTAAACACTATTTATGTTATATTCTTAATTTAAATATGTTATGTTGTTTTTCAGGCGAATGAAAAGGGAGAAGTTCTCAATCCACTTATCACCAGTGTTTTTCTGGAGGTTTGTGCCTATTTTACATCATTTGAACAACTAATTCAATTCAAGCTGTTTGCGCAGTACTATAAAATTATCTCTTTAACCATATCTTCATTGTGTAGGCATCAAACAGTGCATCGTATATCCAGGATGCATTCCAGCTCCTCCTGCCGGTGCTGGAAGTGTCTCATATTCAGAGGACGGTGGAGTCGTGAACACTCAGGAACACTTGACAGCAGAAAAACACCCCAACATAAAACAGCATTTGACAGAGGTAAAATAGTAATGCTGTTTACATTCAAGGGGATCTGGCAAATCCGTATGGAGTGCACAGCTTTCTTATGATTGAGTATATTTTTCGATAGATTCAATGTCAGAAGTCTCTTCATAGCTGACGGTGTATAAATATAAATAGACTGTAATTTAAGCATCTTTCATGCGTAAATGTATAATGAAATGACTCATCTTTTAAAAATAATTATGCAAGTCATACCAGTATTAATGTACAAATATCTTTTAAATAAACAATTGTTACATGTCGTGTTGATTATTTGACAGCTTTTACATGCCACAGATCCTCAAATATGATCATATTTCTGCAAGGGACTCCCGTTCTAAGACAGTGTTTTTCAACCACGCTCCTGGAGGCCCACCAACACTGCATGCTTTGTCACACTCATTACAGGTCTTTCAGTCTCTGCTAATTGATAGTTGATGATCTGAATCAGGTGTGTTTGGTTAAGGAGACATGGTAAATATGTAGAGCTGGTGGTCCTCCAGGAACATGGCTGAGAAACACTAAGATACACAAAAAAAGCATTCTGTTTCTGGGTAATATTTGTTGCATTAACACCATATAAATGGGGTTAAAATATTATTTCTAAAAATACAAAGGTTCTTTTAAGTTATTATTATTATTATATTTTACTATTCATATTTGTGTCCTATTTAATCATAATTGTAGCTATATTTGATCAGGCGAGGCAGTGGCGCAGTAGGTAGTGCTGTCGCCTCACAGCAAGAAGGTCGCTGGTTCGAACCTCGGCTCAGATGGCGTTTCTGTGTGGAGTTTGCATGTTCTCCCTGCCTCCGGGTGCTCCGGTTTCCCCCACAGTCCAAAGACTGTGTCCATTTCTAATTAGAGACACAGTCCATTTCTAATTAGCTCCTCACTTAATTCAGCTCCCATTTAGCCAAAGATGTCTGCAGTCGGAATTAAAGCAGTGTGTGGTGTATGGTAAAAGGTAAGTTTTCTATTTTTGGACTCAAATTCGGCATTCTACCACACAAAACAAAATTTTTCCCATTGCAGCCTGTCCTTTTTTTGCAACCGGGGACCCGTGTGACGTAGGTTGGTAATTGGTCTATACAAGGCCTGGGTAATCATAAATTAGCAAAACAACTGCATTCTGACAGCGAACTGCACCTGTTCAGCAGGGTATGTGAACTTACATTTTTACATTTCATTTTAAGCATTCAGTGTCTGCAGTTTAATTAACCATGTTTAACTGTTTGTGCCAGGCCCAGATTGGCTAATTGGGAGGACCGGGAGAATTCCCGGTGGGCCACTCTGTTTTTTGGCCGCGAGGGCCGGTGTCCCTAGCTGCTAACACTCTCAGCAGTTACACTTTTTTCTTCTATTTATTCATTTGACCATAGCTTTACTCTTTTTAATCATTATTTTGCCGCAGTGCCGCTCTTTTTATTTATTTTCTCGCAGCCCCAGGAGAAAACTGCAGCCTGCAGGTTAATGATGATGATGTAATGTAACTATCAACCCCAAACAGCGGCACCTTAGTGAATATAAGAATTCGAATAACATGAATAATACACCTGCTCAATGAAAATCAAATGATTCACTGCATTAATAAATCTGACATAACTTGATCAGAAATCTAAAAATAGGAGAAAAAGATTAAGCCATCAAAAGAAAGTAGTGCTGTGTCTTAAGGGTCGCAAGTCATTAGTAATTTTTTACTCTCACTGTAATAGTGCCAATGTGGTCCAGTGGTAAGCACATTGCGTTTCAATGCTGCGGACGCGTGTTCGAATCTCCCCTGAAATTTTTTTTTTTTTTTCATTTTTATTGTTAAGACATAAAATACTGTTAGGGTTGTTGAACATTTGAATTTCTAAACCAGCAGTTTTCTTGAAAAAGACGTGATGGTGCCATTAGAAACTGAATTGGAATCAGTCGTGAACTGAGGTGGGCCGATCTGGCTTGAAACTCCAGGGCTGAAAAGTAATGTGTATAACTCAGCATAGCGTGAACTTTTACCTGATATGAAATGAGTAGAGCAGTTTTAATGAAATCATCACTTTATTTAGCTCCCTTTTAGCCAAAGACGTCTGCGGTTGGCATTAAAAGCAGTGTGGTGTATGGTAAAATGTAAGTTTTTCTATTTTTTTTCTAATTTGCTGCTGTCGCCTCACAGCAAGAAGGTCGCTGGTTCGAACCTCGGCTCAGATGGCGTTTCTGTGTGGAGTTTGCATGTTCTCCCTGCCTCCGGGTGCTCCGGTTTCCCCCACAGTCCAAAGACATGCGGTACAGGTGAATTGGGTAGGCTAAATTGTCTGTAGTGTATGAGTGTGTGTGTGGATGTTTTCCAGAGATGGGTTGCGGCTGGAAGGGCATCTGCTGCGTAAAAACGTGCTGGATAAGTTGGCGGTTCATTCCGCCGTGGAGACCCCGGATTAATAAAGGGACTAAGCCGACAAGAAAATGAATGAATGAATATTTGATCAATTTATTAATAATTGTAATTTGTAATTAAGTATTTTTGTCACTCTACATATATAAATATAATTTTATTTGTGTGCAATTAAAACCACACTTTTATAAATATCATATTTCTGTGATAATTTTATGACCATTATTAGATTTTACTCCACTTTTTGGCCAATTGCTTACATGTTAATGCTTTTTTTTTATTTAAATGTATATTTTTTTCTAAACATTTGCACTAGGGCTGCACGATACAAATATTTTGTTTTTCTGCAATATTTATTGAGATATGAAAACACCTTCACCAGATGACTTGAATTTGCAAAGAATTTAGAATTTTAAATTGATTGGGATGATTTTGTAGTTTATTGCATCTGCATAAAAATATAATAAACAATGTAAAAGCATACATACAATAAATATAAAACAGTGTTTTGTTTTTTGAGAAGTCTAATGAAATGTAAAATTAGTACTGGGGCTGTAGGGTGGCGCAGTGGGTAGCATGTTCGCATCACAGCAGGAAGGTTGCTGGTTCTAGCCTTAGCTAGGTCAGTTGGTGTTTCTGTGTGGAATTTGCATGTTCTCCCAGTGTTCGCGTGGGTTTCCTCCGGATGTTTTGGTTTTTCTCACAACTTATTAACATGGTGTATAGAACAGAAGTTGCTCTTTGCCAATAACTGAATCTTATCTGGGAGTGTCCTAAGCTTTTCCGTGCTGATGGTCTACACCCCAGTTGAGCTCCTGTTGGACAACATCTCCAGGATGCTTCGTTCTTTCTGACTAGTTAGTGAAAATTCACAAAATTCACATTTTAGCCATATAGACTCTTGTTCGTCCCACTTCAATCAGTAATGCATGTCTGGCTAACCCCATGGAGACTGTGTCTGTTCTTCGTATTATTAGATCAAGAAATAAGCGTAATGTGTGCTTCAGAAAAAAATCTATTAAGAATCCAACCAGAAAAACTGCAAAAAAGTGAAATGACAAATTTCTTAAAGCTTTGTCTCCTGAACAGGGGCCGAATGTATAAAGCTTCTTAGAGTAGAAGTTTACTCTTAAGTGTGTCAAAATTCTAAGAATGACTTTATAAATTGCACTTCAGAAAAAGTTCATATCAATTAGTTTTCTCTTTGCACTACCAGGTGGCAGTCTTTGTACTTTCATTTCGGGGGTGCAGATTGCAAGTTTTATTAATATATATAGTTAAAATAGTTACTATTTTCCCAAGTGTATATAACTACTGTAAGAAAATATCAGCATTTGGTACATGCTTTCAGTATTTTCTTTGCATGAACTGAGCCGATCTAATCCTGATTATATGAATTGAGCCTGCCAGAACTAGAACCAGAACTATGACAATAACTCTTGGATCAGCTTTGAAGAACGAAACAATTCTGGATCGTGTCAAATCATCAACATCCAAATCCAGCTAACTGAGTAATCCACGTATTCAGAACGGACCCCTGGTCAAGACGATCTGTAGCTCAAACCAAGCATCAGAATGGGGAAGAAAGTTGATTTATGTGACTTTAAACATGGCAAGGTTGTTGGCGCCAGCTGGACTTGTCTGAGTATTTCAGATCTATTGGGATTTTATTTTTCACACACAACCGGCATCTCTAGGGTTCACAGAGAATGTTCCAAAAAAAGAGAAAATATCTAGTGAGCGGCAGTTCTGTGGGCGCAAATGCCTTGTTTATGCCAGAGGTCAGAGGAGAATGGTCAGACTGGCTAAGCTAATAGAAAGTCAAATGGCCTCTACAGTCACCAGATCTCAATCTTTATGATGTGGTGGAAAGGGGGATTTGCATTATGGATGTGCAGCCGACAAATCGGCAGCAACTGCGTGACACTATCATGTCACTATGGACCAAAATCTAGGAGTATTTCAGTACCTTGTTGAATCTATGCCACGAAGAATTAAGGTGTTTCTGAAGGCAAAAGTGGATTCAACCTGGTACTAGTAAGGTGTACCTAATAAAGTGGCCTGTGATCGTATCTTGCAGACCCAATCATAAGTTTGAAAACCTGTTTCAGGCAACATGTTTTCTATGTAAATGTGTTATATTACAAACCTTTCACACATTCCTGAAAATGTTTAAGATATTAACTTTTTTTGGACCCTACATTATTGTCAGACCCATCATAAATATCAAAAGAAACAAAACGGAAATGATGATTGGGTTTTACTTCCAATACAGGGTACTGACCTAATAAACCCCTCAATGAAACCACAAATAATAACTAATGACAACATTATTTAGGCATCTTTGAGTGCAAATACCTTTTAAGAATCTACAAATGTTTATACTTATAGTTGCATGGATCATAATCGGACAAAAACAGTCTTCACCACACAAATACCAGACAGTGTAATAATATTTTAATGTGAAAAATCAAGACTCGTACATACATGGAACAGAAACACAGGGCTATGAATGTGGTGCAGAGGCAGAAATGTTGAGTTGTTCCAGTTTTTCTGTTAAAGATATTTCCGTGTCTTCTGAGCTTTCCGTCAGAGGCTCCAGATACTGTTTTCCTGCTACCCTCTTTCCGGTGACAGGATCCACCACCTGCCCCACTTTATACACAATCTCTGCCAGTTCATGATTCACGTGTTTGGCTCTTTTCTCCGGCAAGGCTTTCAGTAAGACAATATCCCCAACAGTGCACTGCTCCAAAGCATCATGGGCAAAGTAAGTCTTCCTCTTGTTGTAGTACTTGTAAAAGAGAGAAAGAAAAAAAAAAAAGTGCACCTCAGGATCATCGTTAATTTATTCTTGGATAAATTAGCTGAAGGGTAGTCAATTTGCCAGGAGTGTATTGTTGCGTTCCAAATTGCAAAGCATTTTACCGAAATATGTGTCAAAATAAGATTTGTTACGCAAAAATAATTCCGCTTGCTGAAACAGAGAAAGTTGTGACCAAATTAAAACTCAAAATCACCCCAGAATAGATGAAAACATCCCCAACAGCACACAAGTGTTAATATCGAGTTGGCCGATGCCTTGCGGCTATAGATGAATTACCATGTTTGTAAGCATTCAGGATGCGCTAGGATCTGATACGGTACAGAGTTTGTGTCTTAGAAATAAGTTATATTGATTACATATTATACATATCATATTTGTGTGGTCATGTGCAAGAAATAATGTTCCATGATTACCAGATTCAAAACTATGTAGTGCTTAAAACCGAGGTTCTGCCTAGCCAAGGACAAAAAAAGAAGACGAAACTATAGACCAATTACCATGTTTGTAAACATTCAGGATGCGCGCGCAGGGAGGTGGCAGAAAAAAACGTGAGCGTTAGCATTTACAGCGAGGGAATGACATCAGATGCGGTGCAGAGTTTGTTGTTGTCTTAGAAATAAGATATATTGATTACACATTATATATATTATTTACATAATGCTTTCAGCATATTATAACAGCTCGTCGCCCAGTGATAAGCACAGTGATTCGGCAAAATTAACGTTAAAGTGAGCGGCGTTCATCTGACTGGTCCATTTGCGATAGCACCCTCCCAATGGATATTGGATAAGACGAAAGGACCAAGCATCCAGCCCCAAATATACAATCTCATTGAAGCTCCAAGTGATTTTACAAGAGAGAAGTTAAAGGTCTACAAGTCTTTGGATGCCAACAATGATGTTCTGTGTGGTCATGTGCAAGAAATAATGTTCCATGATGACCAGATTCAACACTATGTAGAGCTGAAAACCGAGATTCTGCTTAGCCAAAGACAAGGAAAGAAGACGGAGTTAACGCAACACAAGACCTGTTTAACTAATCACCGACACTCAAAACGACTGCATTCTGACAGCGAACTGCACCTGTACGGGAGGATATGTGAACGAGGTAAAGTCGGTTTTATATTCGCACATTCGGACTTTCTCCTTAACAATATAATTTCATTGAAATATTATTTGCAAACTCTAAATTGCGAAATCTTATTAGCAGCTAATGACTATCAAGTGAAGTTTATTCATAAACTAATTTCGAGAGGAGCACGTGATTATGATTGAACACAGCTGGTTCTGCATTAGCATGCATGATCCACCAGAGCCAGGGTTTTTTCACTACAGTCATCTTCGATTAGAAGAATCCCCCCTTCCACCCCTACCGTTTCACCTTCCCTCCATAGGGCAGCACGGTGGCCCAGTGACTAGCACTGTCGCCTCACAGCAAGAACGTCACCGGTTCTAGTCCTTCAACAGGCCGGTAGTCGTTTCTGTGTGTAGTTTGCATGTTCTACCCGTGCTTGCGTGGGTTTTCCCCGGGTCCTCCGGTTTCCTCCCACATTCCAAAAACATGCACAACAAGTAAATTGATAAATCTAAATTTGCAATTCAGGTAATCTTATAAAGTAGCATATCTTGTAATAGCATTCAATTTTAAGTCATCAGCTCTTATCAAGGGGGATCAAACGGGAGGGAGCCCAGGGCTCAAGAACCTTCGAGCTCAGGGCTCTCTCCCGAGACAGCATGCCAAACTTGCTTATAATCAATCATCAGCTAAGTGTGAACTCTTGAAAGTACAACATGTTCACAGTCAAATAAACTGTGTTAATGTTGTTTTCAAGTTACACTTGCAGGTTATTTCAGACCGAATATTCAAAGTGCTGTGGTAAACAATCAAGGGAGTTTGTCACAAGTTGTCACTGAATGAATGTGTGAATATAAAACCAACTTTACCTTAATAAACGTAACTTTCATGTTTCATTCTTAGCATTCAGTGTCCGCAGTTTAATCCACCATATGTAACCGTTTTTGCTTAAATCATTTCTGCAATCAAAAATGAGTGATGTGTCTGATTCAGCATAGCGTGAACTGACCTGATATGACATGAGAACTGCAGAGTCCAGCATTTCTAATTAGCTCCTCACCTCATTCAGCTCCCATTTAGCCAAAGATGTCTGCAGTCGGAATTAAAGCAGTGTGTGGTGTATGGTAAAAGGTAAGTTTTCTATTTTTGGACTCAAATTCGGCATCCTACCACACAAAACAAAATTTTTCCCATTGCAGCCTGTCATTTTTTGCAACCGGGGACCCGTGTGACGTAGGTTGGTAATTGGTCTATACAAGGCCTGGGTAATCATAAATTAGCAAAACAACTGCACTCTGACAGCAAACTGCACCTGTTCAGCAGGGTATGTGAACTTACATTTTTACATTTCATTTTAAGCATTCAGTGTCTGCAGTTTAATTAACCATGTTTAACTGTTTGTGCCAGGCCCAGATTGGCTAATTGGGAGGACCGGAGGAATTCCCGGTGGGCCGGTCAGTTACACTTTTTTCTTCTATTTATTCATTTGACCATAGCTTTACTCTTTTAAATCATTATTTTGCCGCAGTGCCGCTCTTTTTATTTATTTTCTCGCAGCCCCATGAGAAAACTGCAGCCTGCAGGTAAATGATGATGATGTAATGTAACTATCGACCCCAAACAGCGGCACCTTAGTGAATTTAAGAATTTGAATAACATGAATAATACACCTGCTCAATGAAAATCAAATGATTCACTACATTAATAAATCTGACATAACTTGATCAGAAATCTAAAAATAGGAGAAAAAGATTGAGCCATCAAAAGAAAGTAGTGCTGTGTCTTAAGGGTCGCAAGTCATTAGTAATTTTTTACTCTCACTGTAATAGTGCCAATGTGGTCCAGTGGTAAGCACATTGCGTTTCAATGCAGCGGACGCGTGTTCGAATCTCCCCTGAAAATTTATTTATTTTTTTCATTTTTATTGTTAAGACATAAAATACTGTTAGGGTTGTTGAACATTTGAATTTCTAAGGCAGCAGTTTTCTTGAAAAAGACGTGATGGTGCCATTAGAAACTGAATTGGAATCAGTCGTGAACTGAGGTGGGCCGGTCTGGCTTGAAACTCCAGGGCTGAAAATGAGTCCCACTCCGGCCCTGGTTTGTGCTGAAATCATTGCTGCAATCAAAAACGAGTAATGTGTATAACTCAGCATAGCGTGAACTTTTACCTGATATGAAATGAGTAGAGCAGTTTTAATGAAATCATCACTTTATTTAGCTCCCTTTTAGCCAAAGACGTCTGCGGTTGGCATTAAAAGCAGTGTGGTGTATGGTAAAATGTAAGTTTTTCTATTTTTTTTCTAATTTGGCATCCTACCGTACAACACAACATGTTTGCTAGTGCAACTGGTCTCTTTTTGCAATTGGGAACCCGTGTGACGTCATGTGTGACGTAGGTTGGTAATTCCTCTATAAGAACTTATATCCAAAACAACTTGCAATAAAGAAAGCTCACATACGCTAATGTCAGGTTCACACCAAATGCATAATAAAGTTTTAGCAGGACTAAGTTACATACATGAGGTAATATTGTGGCTTCTTCGACAAATGCAAATTCCATTATTCTTTTTGATATTTGGCACCATTTTATCAGAAAATTTTTGTTTTTGAGCCATTGGATGGAAAGGGTGCTTTATCTGCAAATGTTTTATGTGGTTTTTCAGTTTTGCGCATATATCACATCTTTGGATGGAAACACAGTCACAAACTGTACTAAACTGGCTGAGTGACCTGGCGTTTGAATACAGAAAAGCCAAATGTAAACTAACACCTACGCAATCACAGAGTGTAGATGATTGGATGAAAGTGATCTTCAGGTATGAATCACGAAGCCACGTTGGACAAGGGGGATAAGGCTGGATTCTAATGAATTACATGAAGATGACTTCCTGAAGAAACTAAATCTTAAATTTGATGAACGCGATCATGCGTGCTGAATCTGAAGGAAGTCGCTTCGGCTGCCCTGTTCTGCGCACATTGTGTGTTTGAGTGTGTGTGTCTTTGTCTGTGTGTGCGTGCCTTTGAGCAACAAACCTGCGTAAACGTCGTTGTCCGTAGCCACTAAATCAAAAAGTTACGAATTGCCATGAGATTGCATTACACTCTCTGCTCACATCACTCAAAAGAAAAGGTCCACATTGTCCCCCAAAAATTGCTAAATTGTTTTCTACTTTATAATTATTGTTCTCAACTCACAGCAATACAACTTTTCAATGAGTGCAATTGTTTGTATTCAATACTTTCCATTTTCCATATCTGTAATGCCTGTATTTTGGCATTTTTTTGCAGTCCACTTAGAATCCAACTTGAAAATCAATTTTTTCTTTATTAGCATTGATTGTTTTGAAATTCAAATGGCATTAGCATGCCTGTGTTTTTATTTCTGAAATAAATATGGCTGTCAAGCCAGGATCTTGATGGTTTATTGTCGGTATGTTGTGTACATGAAGAAATCTGTGTTACAAGTTGAACAACAATTGTAATAAACAATTATATTTTGAATTGAAATATTTTTTGTATTGTGTTTACATTAATTTTACATTTGAATTGAGTGTGTGTGTGTGTGTGTGTGTGTGTGTGTATGTATATATATATATATATATATATCGTCGTCAAAAGGTAAGTTCGAATTAATCGAAAAAAATCGCCCAGCCCTAGTATGTATGTATGTATATATATATAAAGACTGGAAGATTGTTTCAGCACATTTCTACGCATAATAGTTTTAAAAACCTATGATTTATAAATGATTTATTTTGTCTTCGCCATGATGACAGTAAATATTTTATTAGATATTTTTCAAGACACTTCTATACAGCTTAAAGTGACATTTAAAGGCTTAACTATGTTAATAAGGTGAACTAGGCAGGTTAGGGTAATTAGGCAAGTTATAATTATAATTATGTATAACGATGGTTTGTTCTGTACACTAACGAAAAAAATAGCTTAAAGGGGCTATTAATTTTGTGCCAAATTTTTTTTTTAAGAAATTAAAAACTGATTTTATTCTATCTGAAATAAAACAAATAAGACTTTTTCCTGAAGAAAAAATATTATCAGACATACTGTGAAAATTTCCTTGCTCTGTTAAACATCAATTGGGAAATATTTAAAAAAGAAGAAAAAATTAAAAGGGGGGCTAATAATTCTGACTTCAACTGTATATATATATAAGGCTGGGCGATTTTTTTCGATTAATTCTAATTTACGTTTAGACGACGATTTAATGTTATATTAATACGTTAAGCGATTAAAAAAAAAAATTGATACATTATAATGGCACCAATGCGCTTTAGTTCACTCTGTATGAAGCAGGTCGCACACCAGAAGCGCCGCTTGCCGACGCACAGCACAGCACCACGCAGCTCCATGGATTTTAGGTTCTAAACAGGTTCTATACACACACCGGCACCGCCCAGCCACGATTCAGGACGCAGTTCATATTTCATCTGCACCACAGAGCGCCATCTGATTAGTTTCATGTTAAATATGTGAATGTGAGCGTCTGGTGTGTGATAGTTTAAACTGTCATGTGCACGCCGTGTCACGGCGCTTCTGGTGTGCGACCTGCTTGACTGTCTGTTAAAGCGTGAAGTCATGTAGGATTTTACTTGTTGCATTAGTCTGAGTCACATCTGTGTGGATTGCTTCCACTGTATCATTTTAAGAAAAAGGCAGCAGCATTACAACTTGTCATTCAATCAGAAGACAAAGTCAAAACCGAGCTGACAGCCAATCTTTCCAAGGCTCAGCCAAACTTGCAAAAAATACCTCTGTATTCTTGCAACTGCAATTTTTAGACATATATTTTTTATTCAAATCTTCAGCAGCACTATTTAACTTATGAATTTGTTCTATATTTATTTACACATTGTTGACCAATTTATGTATGGCATGGCCATTAATAATACAATGTTTCTTAACCAGATGGTTTTTCAAGTTACTTATAAAGAGAATGTTACTAGTTCAGTCATTTTGTTGTAATGTTTTAAATTGACTAGTTACACAATAATAAATAAATAAAAAATTGAAATAGTGAATCGATCAAACTTACACCTAGATTTTTTTTTTGCCATATGGCCCAGCCCTAATATACATATACACACACACACATATATACATTTATGTATGCATGTTTGTATGTATGTATGTATATATATATATATATATATATATATATATATATATATATATATATATATACACACACACACACACAAGTGTGTATATGTATAAGTGTGGCAATTACATTTTTGAGTGTCAGGGGCTGTATAGGGCCTATTTGGCTACAAACCAACAAAAATAACCAATAATTAAACATTATTTTAATTAGTCAAACATAGTGACTGTGTTTTTATTTTGCATATGAGGCAGACTTAATGATTTATCTCACCTTCAGCAGGTAAGGGTCAAGCACTAGTCTGGTTACCCGAACCTTCGCCGTTTTCTTCATCTTGGTTCCGATAACTTGACCGATGATCCATTTCGCGTGGACCGACACCTGACGCGTGGACATGCCGCTTAGTCTTTGCAGTCTCCTGATATTCAGACAAACAATATTAAGTTTAAATTCACGCGCACACTAGCAAGTCAAAATACCTTTCCTGGATCAGAATGAGCCGCTAAAGTTAGCTCTGCTAACAGTTAAACCGCTGCTCACAAGCGTGCTTTACTCACCGAGTCCGAGGTATGTAGTAATCACAACAGAAAAACTGTCTGTTATAGCTGAACGTACATAAACGGGCTTACGTTAAAGGTAAATGTTAAAGTAAAGGTCATAAACTCATGAAAACATTCCGCACGCGTTTGAATGTCAAGACTAGTGGCTCATGTTGATGACGTCAATCGGAGTGGCGACGGGGAATGTCAAATGGGATGCTATCTTCATAAAATATATCCAGTGAATAGTACTTAGGCAAAGTTTTTGGAGGTTGATAGTTCATGCACATTTTGTAAAAGTGAAGACGAAACGCTGATTCACAAATCTTTTTTTTTTTTAATGAGAAAACACAAAACGCTTTTGGAATAGCTTATATCTCCACAATACAATATAAATACAATGCTTCTTCCAGACCCTTACAACTTCAAGATATTATTTGTTACTTTGAGGGTAAAACTGATATATCAGAGAACTACATTATTAACTTTTTATTTTATTTGGAAAATATTTTATTCACAAACAAAATTTCTCCAATTCGCAGCCTTCTTTTTCACATTTTTAAATTGAAATTGATGTTTTTATTAAATCTCTAAGACGCTGATTTAAAAATAAAATTGTGTTCAATTGAATCAAAAGGTTTATAAAAATCTAGGAAAAGAATAAAACTATTATGTTCCACCAACTCATTATAGTCCAATAAATCTAAAATGAGTCTGATGTTATATTAATTATGTGTCGCTCCCTCATAAATCCTGATTGAGCCTCATCTATAATGGTACCTAAACAATCTTTAATTATTTTGGCAAATATTGTGGCAAAAATCTTATAATCATTAAGGAGTGTGATGGTTCACCAATTGTCCAAATTATTAAGGTCTTTCTTAGGTTTAGGAGCGTGATGACACCTTGCACTCAAAAAAAATGATATGTTGGCTTGAATTAACTTTATGTCAACAGGTTCAACGTAACTGAGTTAAGTTATCTTAAAGAAAGAATATTCATTTGTGTAAACTTAAGTTAGTTACATAAAGGTAATGTAATGTTGTTTAGTTCAATCAACGCAACATTTATAATTTAGCTTTAATTTATTTACACAGTTAAAAAAATCTGTTAAATTTACGGAAAAATACCGGCAGTGAATTTTCTGTAAAAATACGGAAGTTTTATAGGACAGTTTAAATTTACAGAAAATAACCGTATTCCATCATCTGATATATGCTCATGTTACAAAAACCTAGTTTAGCTCACAAAAACATAAAGTCATTCAATGCACTAATGTGTTCATGTGTGTATAATTAGCAAACAGATTTTCACTAAATTAGTAACTATACAGTTAACTTTGAATAAAAGAAGATGAAGCACAACATCAGCTATCCTTAGTTCATATTGGACTTGCACAGATGCTACTACCCTCCACAATGTGTCAACGTTGGAGGTGAAGTTTCTTTTTCAATACTTTCTTTCAAAACATTAGTTAAAAATGGAGAAAAATCATCAGCAAATAATTTATACAGTTCTGCTGTAAATCCATCACACCCAGGGGCTTTATTATTTTTCAAACTCTTAATTGCACTTAGTATTTCTTCCGAAGTTATATTGCCATCACAAAAAAATCTGTCAGAGTCAAATATAAGCTTTAAATAATTAATTGAGTCCATAACTGAGGGGGTGGTATACTCTGAGCATCTTGATTTATAAAGATTTTTTATAAAAGCTAGCACTAAATTCAGCTATTTCCCTAGGATCTTTAACTATATTTCCGTTAATACATACAGTAGTTGCTCAATTGCTGAAAGGGAATAATTTTGCTTTTCAAGTTTGAAAAAATATGCAGAATTAAGTTTGGTCCCACTTTACATTAGGTGGCCTTAGTAACTATGTACCTACAACCCAAATTACACATTTGGTAAAGTGTACTTACATTGCACATAACATATTTGCTATAGCAATTTTTTGCAAACACACATATTTTTATAACTTCTATTATACCACTAGGAATTATTGTTTATTACCGCAATGTGCGCAATATACTTATTATTCAAAGATGCAACCAAAAATTTTGTTGTGAAGGGTGGGACCATTTGGACACTCAGGAATATGTACTTAACTATTGTGAAACTACTTCTTAGTTTCTGTGTATCAACAATGGTTCCTCACTGTATTTGAAGAGGCCCAGTAGTGTATTTTCAGTGTAAGTACACGGTAGTTCCTGTGTATCAACTATAGTTCCTCACTGTATTTTGAGGGCTGGTTTAGTGTATTTTCATTGTAAGTACATGGTAGATCCTGAGTATCAACAATGGTTCCTCACTGTATTTTAAGAGGGCTGATTTAGTGTATTTTCAGTGTAGTTTGTTTGTTAGTATGTTATTAGTACGTTTCCAACAGGGATTAGTATATTGTTTGTATGGATTGGTATGTTGATAGTATGTTCAAAGTAAAGTCAATGGTAGATTTTGAAAGTCTATGGGAGAGTTGCTAGGATGCCGTAAGTGGTTGCTAGGGTGTGGCGAGTAAGTTGAAAGGTCATCAGTGATTGGCAGATTGGTAGTCTGAGTTAAATGAAACCAACCTTAAGTCTGTATGACAGTCTGGTGCAAAGTTATGCGGTCACAAAGTTTGTTACAATGTTAAGTCAAAGGGACTTTTCCGAATTTTCCGGGTCAGTTTTCGAAAAACCGTAAGTCAGATCAGTTGGAAAAAAATATAGCAGCCCGAATAAGATGAGTTTAAAGGTTTGGAGTAAGTTTGGTGGTTGTATTAGGAACGACCAATGAGGAGATTCATATAGAAATTAGTCTCAGAAGAAGACGGAAGAATGATATGTTTATGTAGTATAACAGTATATTGGCTTTCTCAAGCCACCAAAATAAATACAGAAAGGTGGTAAGACAAAAGCAATGATGCAACAAGTGTGTAATTGTGTTGTTTATTCTGTACAAAGCACTACAGCACAATTAAAGTCTCTGACAAGGCAACAATTATTTTTCCCTCTTGCCTGATAATTTGTCTGAAATGGAATGACTCTAGGAGCCGCAGTCAAACTATGAAGTGCAATTATTTACATGAATATGGTTAAAAAATGCTGTTTGAAGAACATTTTAGTTGGTAATCAGAAAATCTGGCAATTCTGGAGTGTAGACATAGGGTAAAATTATTTGTCCTAAACAATTTGCTTCTTAAATCACTAAGAGGCATTGTCTTGTTGCTAATAATTGCGTTTTAGTTGTGCACAAAGGATTCACTTTCCTTCATACGCAAAGAAATATCACTGATAAATTAAAACTAGAGAAACTGGCCGCCGACAGCTCTGTTTTTACCGAGAGCAGCTTCTTTCTTTCTTTTTTTTTTTTTTTTTGGAGATAATACAATATGCTATCCTCCTGAGACCCAAAGATTTTTTCTATTCATTTAACATTTAAAAAAGGATATTTTGAAACACAAACAAGTTAATGGCTTTAAAAGCTAAATGTATCGTTCCTGACACTTTAATAAACAAATATATATATATGTAATAACAGTAAAAAGACATATAAAAAGCTAGATCTTTCTCCTTCCCCTAAAATGTGCTTTTTTGTTATTCGGCCATTTTGGATGCAGTGTAAGAAGTGGTTCCTATTTGCCAGCCAATCAAAAGACATATCACTAGAAAGTCCAGGATGTCCTCTGAACAGTACAACAGGACTTGACAGAGTAGCACAAAAAATTCTAAGAAAATTAATAAAAACGCAATGTCCACTACAGAGGACACAAGTCAATGGGCGGGGTCTCAGGAGGCTATATGAATAAAACAGAAAGACATAAAACTTTACAAATTACGTGTCCACTTTTGTAGTGTCATAAATCTAGATAAATTAAGCTGAAACCTTTAAAGAGTTACAAACATCGGATATAATAATAACAGTTAAATAAATAAGTTAAATAAACCAATATAAAACATCAAAAGCTATAACAATGTAGGTATATACAATACAAATAAATCAAACAGTTTTAAGCTATTTTGAACTTTCATTTTACAAATCAGAATTAAAAAAATAATTCTAAAAACAATAAACAACTGAGAAGATTTGAAATATTATTTGTAAAGTATTTGGACGATATTAATCGAATCGTGCAAACAGAGCTTTTTTGGGTGAGCAAAACCATCCTTTCCGTTTGTATTTATGATTTAATTAATATTTAATTATAACTTGAAAACCCTTTCCTCACCAAGATTAGGCTTTTTAAACCTGTTTTTGTGAAAGAACATTTTTTAAATCCACTGTAGCTTTAGCGCTTTAACATGTTTTAGGTAAGATTGTTTGTTTATCTTCCACCAGCCGAGAACATCCATTCAATTTTCCATGCATGACTTCCCACTCCTCTTTTAGACTTCTCAGTGATCGTTTGTTTAACCTTTGCAGGGATGGGTTTTGACGTTGTAACAATCTGATTACTTTCTCGTGATAATTAATTTCATTAAAAAAATTTACCATGTTATATAAAATCATAAACACTTATTTGATGTCATAGAAAACATTTTTACCGGCAGTTTTATCCCAATCTGTTTGTAAAAAAGCTGTTTACACAATTTGATTAATATGCTTGTATCCAAATACTTTACAAATAATATTTATTTTAAAAGAAAAATGTTTTAATATACTTCGTTGTTTATTGTTTTTAGAATATATCTAAAATCTTTTTTTAGATAAGTCTTTGTAAAATTAAAAATCAGTAATGGCTTAAAATGGTTTAAATCATTTATATTATAATATTCCTAAATCGTTACAGCTTTTATTTTAAATTCACGTTTCAGATTCATTCATTCATGTTTCAGGTTCATTTAAATTCATGTCAGGTTTATTTCATGTTTTCATTATATCCAATATTTGTATATGTAACCCCGCATGGGAGTCGGTTGCTCTAACAAGGAGGCTAAAGACCATGGCCTCTAGCATCTGTCGCTAGAGCACCTTTAGAGGTCAGAGGAGTGAGGTTTACCTGCACAGCACACACTAGCTGGCCCCCGTTAAACTCACCCCCTAAACCTCACTCCCATCCGGGTCACGGCACCAATGTAACCCTGCCGGTCCTACGCTATCCAACCCACTCCGAGCTGGTATCGAACCGGCGACATTCCGCATGGGGGTCGGGTGCTCTACCAAGGAGGCTAAAGACCATGGCCTCTAGCGT